ATGTTAATGTTAAATATGTATTGGCTTTTGCATGCAGTTGACTGGTTATTTAATCTGGTAACACCCTATACAGGTTATTACACAGATTGCCAAATTATATTTCTTTTCATTATAATTTTCCTTACACAGACACTTGGGTTTGGAGCTCAAAACGCCTTTAAAATAAAAACAAACTTAATATAAGCCGTTTTGAAAAAAAATTCATATTTCAACATCTATAATATAATACAGATTGAGCACCATTGAAGCCATTGGTGTCTGTGTTTCATAATATTTACATGACGCACACTACTGTATGCCATATTACTACGATGGAAGCTTGGCAATAGGTACGTATTATTTCTGGTACGAACCGATCATAAAGAACGGCTAATTTACCGATTTCAAATAACCACAGCAACCGTACGACATAGACATGACCAACGCTCTGGACATCTTCTTGTTTACTGTAGGTCTAGTGAGAGTCTCGGACTTTGTTCTTTTTCCGATTGTTTCGTAACGCGTTACGAGGATATAAGCTACATTCCTTAGCTAATAAATAGCTTTTCATATCGTTTATTAATTACAAAGCATAAAATAAAATTGCATCCGTCATTTATATTATATCTCCTAATATCGGGGTCGCAAGGTTGTTGACGTTTCTAATTATAGCGTTTCCGAACTTGTTTCTAATTATAGCATTTCCGAACTTTTCCATATGCAAATGAGTTTATTCCGAATGAAACCGATCGGGCCCGAGAGCTTTTACAAATGGCGGGGATTTCAAAAACTGGCGATATTATATCCAGTTGCATCCGAGTGTTTCGGCGAAATAAGATTAAAATTGTATAGCAGTTCATCATTAATGAGGATATACTTATGATTTAGGTGATAATTTCTGAAAACTAAGTTGTAGGGTAAAATATCATCGTTGAACGGTATTATAACTTTAAGTACATATCGACAGCTAGATTTCAAAGGTTGTTCTTTATATCATTTATTTAAATAAAGTTGTATTCACCCCCCCCTTTTTTTACGTAAGACAAAAGACTGTTTTTCATGCGGAAGTGATTATAAAATTTAACGTCTACCATTTATATCGCTTTTGTTATTTAAGATGCATTGGAATCGATCGACAAGAGACATCTATATATAGATCACCGCATATTGTCCGCTGTGACCTATGGAAAGCCATGGCTGTCTGATATTGTTCTTTTTCAATTTATGTAACCATTTGGATAATATATGAGTTCACTTCGACTATATATGAATTGAAAACACCTTCTTATTTAACCGGAATCCATTATACGTATTAATCCACAGAAACAATATATGAAACCATACTGTCAGTGTATGAAACCGAGTTAGCAATATATAAGTTGATTTTCTCAATATATGATTCCAATTCTTCAATATATGTTACCAAAGTAGCCATGTATGGAACCAGATGTCCTTATATGAAACCGAATTATCAATATATTAATTCATTTTTACAATATATGAAACCATTTTATCAATGTATGGAACCAAAGTAGCAATATATGAGTTGGTTATACCAATTATTTAATATATGGAACCAAAGTAGCAATGTATGGAACCAGGTGTCCTTATATGAAACCAAATTATCAATATAGTAATTCATTTTTACAATATATGAAACCAATTTATCAATGTATGGAACCAAAGTAGCAATATATGCGTTGGTTATTACAATATATGATACCAATGATTCAATATATGGAACCAAAGTAACAATGTATGGAACCAGGTGTCCTTATATGAAACCAAATTATCAATATATTAATTCATTTTTACAATATATGAAACCATTTTATCAATGTATGGAACCAAAGTATCAATATATTGAGTTGGTTATTACAATATATGATACCAATTATTCAATATATGGAACCAAAGTAACAATGTATGGAACCAGGTGTCCTTATATGAAAAACAAATTATCAATATATTAATTCATTTTTACAATGTATGAAACCATTTTATCAATGTATGGAGCCGAAGTAATTCAATATATAAGTTGATTATCACATTATACGACCCCCTTGTTGCTGAGGGGTTATCTTTAAGTTTTGAAATGCATGGTTAAGTGCTGGTATGGATAGGTAACGAAGCACTGACCATGTTACTGACAGTGTTTCGGAATAGTCCGTTAAGTGCAGTTATGGAAAGATCACGATACTATAATGTATAAAGATGTACTACTGTATGTGTCGTCTGCTTTTGAAGATTCAGTTTATCATTCAGTTCCTTAAATTAAGGCTAGCTAATGATCTAGGTAATGTGTTGGCCTTTTCAATCAATACGTACATGCATTGCTAAACGAAAACAAACATAATTCAGGTAAACTTGTTTTTAATGCATTGCAAACTTCAATAGATCTTTCGTTTCAAGTAAATATAACTTTAGAAAACTTGTTTATCTTTTTAAGATAATAGATAAATTCCAAAAAGGTACAAACAGACTACCACCTCACAATCAAGCAGTCTTTAGGGGTGCCAAACGGCTGGTCACGTGATCAAAAGAGTTTCTTTGATGTTTAAAAGAAATGTTAGAAAAATGGAAACAGAAAAATAATAAAAATAAGAACATGTAGTCAAAAATGGTTGTTAAATCATATCAAAATACACAAAATATAGTACGGACCTAATATAACATTTTAAATTAATTTTTTAAAAAAGCAAAAGATCTGAAAATGTTGGGAATATTGAAATATTTCTTGAAATATGTTTTGAAATGCAATAAAGGCTCAAGATAATTAATTCCAGTGTTATCTATATATTTACTCAGCAGGGAATGTTATAGTTGAAAATTATTTTTGAAATTTTCTATACATTATTTTCCTAGTTTAATTTTGCATTTTCAAACACTATTTCATTGCATCCTTTTTTATGCAAGACTCGTATACAAGCGTTCATTCACTGAAATAGTGTAGACAATCAATCGATGTTATTGACTGATTATATGACTATGTGTTTGAAAGTAAAAAAAAATGCAAGGAAAAACAGTACAATGGAATTGTGATTCTATTTTACTACGGGCCTTATCATGAAAAGTTAAAAAGTATTTTGTAACTTAAAAAAAGAGTGACATAATAGAAAAATGTAAATATGCAAATATTCCTATTATTGTAACAAAGAAATATAATATAATGAAAAAGATGAAAATATGTTTGTAACTTATATAAAAACAACTGTGAATTAAATATGCAAATATTTCTATTATCTGTTAAAAATGAAAAAAAAAACGTTTGATGATTCTGCTAACAGTGGTTATTAAAAATGTCCATCCATTTTTTACAAATATTTGTTAAATTGTATGACTATATATTTTATCACGTGACCAGCAAAAAATTAGAAATAAGCCTACTTGTCGTGGGTTTAAGTCTTTCAGCACATAATTTTAAAATGAAATTGATTCGACGTCCTCAATTTCCAGGACATCCTCTTTCAGTCCATTTCCAGTTAAGCTGTCAGCTTCATTGGCACGTGCGGAACTTATTATCTCAATCAAAATGTCACTGGAACTTACACACAAGCTGTGTGAATTTGCATCAATTTTCTTCGAAAGCGTTTTTCTTTTTCCTTTTCTCAAACCATGCCATGATAAAACCAAAGCAGCTAGGATATTTTGCGCTTTTATTCTTGTCGTCTGCAACTTCAATTTCAAGGAATGCTTCAAATGGCTTATGGACCACGTGATCATCTCTCTTGTCGTCTGCAACTTCAATTTCAAGGAACGCTTCAAATGGCTTATGGACCTCGTGACCATCACTCTCAGAGGCTTCTGTAATGGCTTTCTGCTTTTTCTCAGCCTGAAAAATTGTCAGATGTCAGTATTAGGTCTATTTGAAATATAGATTATTCCGCCTCCGTTTCATACATAATTGTATATAATTGATTTAAGGTAGTACACCTCTAATCATCGTCGGATACCCACGGCCGAACCATTAACATTTATCAGCATGTTATGTGACATGTTTATCAATCGTTGGTATCCGACGATGACCTCTAATGCACTATCTCCACTTTGAAATAGGCTAGAATCACTGTAAAGTGTATTGAAACTGAGGGGCGTGGGTTCAAACCCCAGAAGAGGCAGCTTTTTTTTCTTTCTTTTTAACATTTTTTATTAATTTCTCAGATCCCTAATGGAATAAAAAAGTGTTTCGTTTTAATTATATAATTATTGTAGGTATTTATTTACTAAAAATGCTTAATTTAATAGCAAATATAAGATATTTTCAAAGGGTAATAAAATAAAAACTACACGGTAAAGGTATTTTATATTTTGCCAGACCAACCAATATACATTTAGGAAAATTTTGGCAAACTTTGAAAACAGCCCCTTTCTGTGGAAAATTTTAGGGATATTTTAGATAAGGCTTTTTACATAAGGAAATGGTCAAATAAGTGTTAAAAGTGGGTGGGGTAGGGTTACATTTTTATACATATTAAAAACATTTTGTTTAAAAACAATCATTTTGCTTGTTTAATTTGTTACCTTAATGTCATTTTTTGTTTTTTTAACAATTAGCAATAGGAAAACATTTTTCATAATGATGATATTATAGATTATTTAAAGTTTCCTCATCTCTGAAAAAAGCCCTTCTAATGGCAAAGTTTTAGTTCAGAAAAATGTCCATAACTCATAAACCACACGGTAAATTTTGTTTAAATTTTGCATACAGGTAACATTTAAGGCATATTGTAAATTTTACAGTTCTTTATAGTGCCCATTAGGGGTGTACTACGTTAACTTTCTTCTGCATCAAACTGTTCAGACAGCACACTACTTTTTTAAAGATTCTCTGGCAATTTTTTTTTACCTGCAAGTATATTTAAAAGTTATTATAAATAGAGAATTATCTTCATCATAAATTAACGGTTGACCTGCTAAATTTCTAAAATGGATTTGCCCAGCTTCCGTTTTTTTTTTTTTTTTTTAACTGATCTTTGCAATTCCGAGATATCAAGATGAAAATTCAAAGTAAGTCAGCAAAATTACAGAGCCTGGTCAGACTACATGAAGGTGCATTATTTGAAGTAAAATTAGGCTTACCCTTTTCTTTTTCTTATTCTTCTTCGCAATCTTCTTTCTCATTCTGTTTGACAACTTCTTATCCTTTTTGTTTATTTCATCGGCTCTTTCTCTCCTATCTTCTTGGTTCCCTGGTTTTGCCAAGAACATTTCTGCAATTCTTTTCAATCTTTCTCCTTCACTTTCTTTCTTCGTGCTGCTGAAGTTTTGGTAGATGACGCCAGTGTCATCTCCCATGTTTCTGACATCTATAATAGGTGGTAACGGATTTTTCTCTTCCTTTTCAGCCATTTTTTTGGCTGTGAAGAATATTTACGATGTTGATGGTTCGTTGACCAGCGCCGCTTTGTTAATGCCGTCGTCAAGTGACGTTTTGACGTTCATTTTTCTATGACGTCATTGATGATGCTATTGACGCTGTACCCATTTGGTTTTTGTGCTTATTTTTTCAATTTATTTATATTGCTTGCTTATTAATGATGTCCTTTGTTACAATATTGCAGATTATTATATACATACATATAATCATTTCTGAAGCAATATACAATGTATCTCCCTTTTTCTAAAACAATACTTGTAAGCAAAAATGACATACTTAAAAAAATGTCTCGAAATTGAGATTTTAGAGCATATTCTTGTGTTTGTGTTTATAATTATTTTTATTATTTTATTTATCTATTTATGTTTATTAAATTAATTAATTAATTAATTAATTAATTAATTAATTAATTAATTAATTAATTAATTAATTAATTAATTAATCAATTATCATCGTCATCATTATTATTGGTTTTTATACGCCCGTTTGAAAAACGGGACGTAGTATGGGAACGCGAGCGGGCGGCGTCCAATTTTGTCCGGAGCATATCTCCTACATGTATGGAGGGATTTTAATGAAACTTCATAGAAATGTTCACCACTATGAGGAGCAGTGTCGCGCACATGAACCAGGTCTCTAGCTCAAAGGTCAAGGTCACACTTAGAGCTCATTGAAAAATGCTTGTCCGGAGCAAAACTTCCACATGTATAGAGGGATTTCAATATTACTTGGCACAAATGTTTACCATTGTGAGGCGGAGTGTCGCGCGCAAGATTCAGGTCCTTGCGGCCAAGGTCAAGGTCACACATAGAGGTCAAAGTTCAGATAAAAATATGAAGATGTGTATAGGACCATTTAGTCATCATTTATTGAGGGATTGTAACACAAATGGTCATAATCAGACTATGGCTGTGATACATATAATTTAGGTCAATATATACAAGGTCAAGGTCACTAAAGATGATGAAATATCCAGATTTTGTCCGGAGCATATCTCCTACACGCATGGAGGGATTTTAATGAAATTTCATAGAAATGTTCACCATTATGAGATGCCATGTCACGCACATGAACTAGGTCTCTAGGTCAAAGGTCAAGATCACACTTAGAGCTCATTGAAAAACGCTTGTCCGGAGCAAAGCTTCCACATGCATAGAGGGATTTCAATATAACTTGGCACAAATGTTCACCATTGTGAGGCGGAAGTGTCGCGCACAAAATTCAGGTCCCTGCAGCCAAGGTCAATGTCACACATAGAGGTCAAAGTTTAGATAAAATTATGAAGATGTGTATAGGGGACGATTTAATCATCATTTATTGAGGGATTGTAACACAAAATGGTCATTATCATGACTACGGCTGTGACACATTTACTTTAGGTCAATATATGTAAGGTCAAGGTCACTAAAGATGGTGAAATATCCAGATTTTGTCTGGAAGCATATCTCCTATATGTATGGAAGAATTTTTATAATACTTTATGGAAATGTTCACCACCATGATATGTATTGCTCCATGCATGATCCAGGTCTCCAGGTCAAAGGTCAAGGTCACACTTAGAGCTCATTGAAAAACGCTTGTCCGGAGCAAAACCTCTACATTCATAGGGGGATTTCAATATAACTTGGCACAAATGTTCACCATTGTGAGGCTGAGTGTCGCACGCAAAATTCAGATCCTGCGACCAAAAGTCAAGGTTACACATAGAGGTCAAAGTTCAGATAAAAAATTTGAAGATGTGTATAGGGACCATTTAGTCATCATTTATTGATGGATTGTAGCACAAATGGTAACTATCATGACTACAGGTGTGACACATTTAATTTAGGTTAATATTTGCAAGGTCAAGGTCACTGGAGATGATTAAATATCCAGATGTTGTCCGGAGCATATTTTCTACATGCATGGAGGAATTTTAATGTTACTTTTATAGAATTGTTCACCACCATGAGACGTAGTGCCCTGCACATGAACCAAGTCTCTAGGACAAAGGTGAAGATCACAGTTAGAGCTCATAGAAAAACGCTTGTCTGGAGCAAAACTTCTACATGCATAGAGGGATTTCAATATAATTTGGCACAAATGTTCATCATTATGAGGCTGAGTGCCGTGCATAAAATTCAGGTCCCTGCGACCAAGGTCAAGGTCACACATCCTGTGCATATCTTCCCTACTGATTTGTTTTAAGGTTCATTTAACAACACAGTGCCAAGAATAAAAACTTGCTTGCTAGATAACACTTATCCATAATGCCCCCATCTCCATCTAAAGCTTTCGTAAACGGGCGTATTTTGTGACTATGGCACCCTTATTTAAATAATGTTTTATAATTTTTTTTAAAATAATTTTGCTCTTTTCAGGCGAATGATAACAAATGAAATGACATGAAGACGAAATTTTTAATTAGTGTTTATGGAGTTAAAATAAAAAGCCTTAAGTTCTGATACTTGTGAGAGATTCACTATTATAGTATTTTTTTCTGAACTCTTTTCACGCAAGGTTGCATGAAATAACAAATCATGATAAAATATTTATACATCATTAGCTTCCTTATAAATATCTATCCGGAAAAAACCCCAACAAACTACAATTTAAAGATCGATTAACATTTTGTAAATGTAAGAATTTAATCATTTCGGTCCGAAGCAAACACTCATTAAAGCGTTTGATATTTCGGTTTCTTGATATTTCGGTTTCTTGATATTTCGATTTCTTGATATTTCGAGTCAATCCATGTTGTTGTTTTTTTCTTACTGAATCGACACTCCACAATATAAACTAAAGATTACATGTATATATATATATATAAAAGTATTAGCCTTCAATTTTATGTTCATATAAATTGGGAATTGTTTATAGAAATTTAAGCTCAGCATTCATTGTTTTTAGACATTCTTCATAAAAAATAGAATGTCATATTCGTTCTTCGTTCATTCGTTCTTCACTTTTCCAAATTCTAACGATCTTCGGGTTTATATAATCACTGTAAATAAACAAAATCACTGTCTCACGACTTTGATAAGCTTATGGAATTCAACATCAGTATGTTCATTGCGATTTCAAGCACGTCACTGTACCTTTCTTTAGAGTCTAATATTTTAAATTTCCTTTCCGTGTGGCGGGGCGAAAGGTCGCCCGGTAAAAACACGCCAAAATTGCAATTTTCGCCCTGCCACGCGAGAAAAAGTATTTTCGTGTTTTCGCTCCGAAAACATGCTCATACTACATGGCACGAATCAGCCACCATAATAAGCGTTTATACAATCTGTATACAAGAATACAATGTAAAATTCGGTTGAAAAAGTAAAAATGGGTATAAAGTACGAACGCACGCTCTAAACAACTATAGTTTAATAAAACAATGAGAATAATCTTCACGCATTAGTTAACTTATTATACTCTTAAACAATAAGTTTGTTTTATTTTTTATTCATTACGCGTTTTTGTTATTTATTTGACATGAATATTAATTGATTTATGGTATGTTTAGGTTTTTTATTCTCCGCCTTAGATTTATACATGTATTAATTTTAATCAGAAAAAAAAGTTTTAGTTTATATTTCTGTTTCTGATATAACATTACTGAAAAAAGAAGAAAAAAAAAACAACGTTTTGTGACACTTCTAAATGAATTTAAATATATTCGGCTAAGAACAAGAGACAAAATTTAAAGATATTCAAACATTTGATTTTTAATATAACACGAGGAAAAAGGTACGCGGAATAGGAATATAGTTTTGAAATTCTGTCATAAAATTATTTATTTTCGCGCATTTAAAAACTACATCTATGTTAATCTCTAGAAATATTATTTGCAGTGGTTTTGGATAATTAACATGTGATGGTTGACGGACCTTTTCGTGCATTTAAATTGAAATCATTTTGGATTGAGAATAAAAAGAATGTTTTTAAAACTAAAGACTACAGTTTTGATCTGCGTAACATCCGTTCTTTATACAGCAGTTACTGCCCAAGGTAAGTATATAATTTACTTATTTTCAAAAGTTTGTATTTCTATATTTTTTATTAATATCATATTCTATCATATTTTATATTTATTACAGAATAAGAAGAAGAAATAGTTTATTTCGGTAACTTAAACATTTACAGTATATCTCGTTACACACAATAATTACAAATATAATAATTCACATGACAAAATCAATGGAAACGAAAATGATGCATGTAATAATAAAGACATAAATGTTTAACTCATGACATTCTTGAAAATTTTAGCAACTTTGTTTATTACATTCTTAAATTTCATACAGTAATTACTACAATGGTGCCAACAGTCGAGTATATCAGTGAGGTAGTGACAGAAAAATTTAACACTTTATACCATATGATGACTGTAGCAAATTTGACAAACTTTTCTTTGGAAAATTCAAATTAGGTTGAATATACATGTATAATCTCTTTTCTATTTTTAATATCAGAATGTGGCGAGGGCTATATATCACTTGATATAACAGGTGCGTGCACGAATTCCACGTGTTTAGGCGAATGCCGAGACAAAAACACATGCTGTCTAGGTAAGATTTGTACCAAATATAATTACATGTATTTGTTTTATCAATGCCTCAATTAGAGATTTCAAAAACACTAAATCTACGTCATCATAAAATTCCGTTTTACGATTATTTTATTCAAAATTGGTCGATAAAATTAACTTAAACTTGGGACATAATATAATTTTACATTATGACCAGGTTTGCAATTGTCATCGGATTTAACAGTACCCCCAGACGCTTGCAGAAATCATGATCATAAAATTGGAAAATATCGCTTTTTTCGCCGATTTATTTTTACATTTTTCATTCATTTTCGTATATATATATCGGTATGAACAGATGAATTGCATTTCGCCGGGTGAAGAGGAGAGATTTTAGCATGTAATCATTCAAGCGCCCTGACCGGTATATTATATGTTATTTTGTTTTTGAAGTGATATATGTGGATATATTACCTGTTAAGATTTTATATCACCCGAGCCGTTAGGCGAGGGTGATATTTTATCTTGGCAGGTAATATATCCACATATATCACTCCAAAACCAAAATAATAATTTTATTACCCTTCCCCTGCCGAGTTTAGACGATTTTTAAAAAAATCATTGCTGTTTCAAATGAAACGTCGAAATAAGATTCCCTTTAGGGTACCTCTTCGTCACAACATGACGTCACATAAATACATGACGTATTTTCCCGTACTTAACGAATGTAAACAGGAGAAAAGGAGTAGTCTATTGAACGCACTTTTTTGTAATTGATATCAAGCTTTCACAAGGTCATATTTGTTTTCGATACTGATGGTAATATGTATCATTACTCTACTTTGGTAAATATTTATCATTTGACAGTTAAAAAGTGCTTTTAAATCGGAATTTACACCGCGTAAAATCGAACCGTACGCGCATCACCTCAGCGCATGTTGTTTACAACGTTGGGTACCCAACGGGGAAATTTAGTGTGTATATTACCCGTCTGGCTCGGTTATATCAATTTCTTTCGGGTGATCAATGTCCAATCAAAAAGGCGGAAAAAATCTTGAAGGGTAATAAACTGTAATACCGCATTTAGTGTGGTACTCCAACCTCCAAACAAAGTTAGATCTAGCAGTCATATGTAAGCAAAATAACTAAGTTTCTTAAATCAAAGGGCTGCAAGCTCAGTGGTATTTTCTGATCCCTGCAATCTAAATCGTACTGTATATATGTATGTGTTTTCCTGTATAAGTTTATTTTTATGTACTATAAGTCATCTTGCAGGGCACCAGAGTTTGATACATACGGAATTTTGCATAACTAGAGTTGCATCAAAAAAAAATTCATGTTAATTTTTTTATGATAGCCACACTTTATCCTTGCATATCGTGGCTATTTCCTTAACAAAGACACTAAAAAAAAGAATTAAAAAAATGTTGACTCGACTGGGATTTGAACTCCAGACCTCTCACATACCAAACGAGCGCGTTACCCCTGCACCACGGAGAAGTATTAAAATCAAAATTTGGATAAAATCAAGTGATTCTAAATTTAGAATTTCCATTGCATTTCGGGTTAGGGTAATTTCGAGGTTTTTTGTTCAGGGTAAACCTGTTGTTTAAAATTGATGTAAATAATTTAGCAAAAATCTTCTCGCCCAAACAGTCCAACATGTAGAAACTATATATTCAACTACTCGGCAGTCAGATTTATTTGTGTAGTATTCGGTAATCGACATCGCTAAAAATAGCATTTTCATTGATTAAAATCATATTCATCCGCGTAAGTTTATTGACAACTCTATAAGCCAACGCTACTTTAAAAGTTTGAAGGTGTAGTAATTTGTTGGACACTTGTAACAAAAAATTGTTCTTTCTTTTAAATTGCAGGTTTTTAAGCAGTTTTGAGTGAGAACTAATTTGAGTTGTTAGGACTGTTAGGAAATTTTGTGTTAGACCGTGGATGTTAGCTATGTATTATCTGATCTGCGATCAGAAAATACAAAAACTGTTTAACTTATTCCTTTCAGAGATGTGTTTTGCGGGGATAAGTCCATCTAAATTAGAACTTGAAGGTTGCGCAAATATTGAGGGTGACCACGGCACATGCAGGTATAACTTTCCAATGTTTACAAAGTTGTTCAAGTAAGTTGCTCATAAAAGGAACTAAACATTGAGCTGAACAGAAAAAAAAACTTATCAAATAAACTTGAATTTTGAATTTCAGAAATGAAGTTATTCAATAAATGAAAACGTTTGTACATTATTTGAGATATTTACAGTGTTTGTATGTTTTGTATAAGCTTGATCTTTACGTATTTCATTAATACGCGCGACCTTTCAAGTATTATGGCGCGAATGAACTTATTACTGGTGCATTCGGAACCATCTCGCCGATTACTACACTCCCAACTTTTCGGCCCTTTCCGTCAGTTTTCGGATAAGTTATAATAGTTGATAGCCGAGGATGCTCCGATTGACCATTAATGATACGAAGTTTGACGGAGACTGTCGAAAGTTGCGAACATAAATTACTTCGTTGAATGATATTATTTGTCCTATTCACTCAAACTATCAATGTATAATATGTTAAAAAATTATGATATAATTTAAGTGATATCAAAATATATAATTACTCATTTGCATGCAGAATAAAGTTATTTATTGTTTTCTTTTTCAGCCAGTTTGCATCACAGACCGACTGTTTAGCAAATAAATTAAATAAAACATATGATGCTTGTTGGAAACACACATTATACTATATTTCATCGCACCCTGGGGTCGGCGAAATCAGTGGATTTAACCCTGTCAACTGTACGTATTTTCGTCTATACCATTTACTATTAATAAGCGAAACCATGTCAACTGTACGTATTTTCGTCTAAATTTTTACTATTAATAAGCAAATTGCCTAAGAAGTACACTTTCTTTTCTATATTATCATTGAGGTAGAGAAATTGCCTAAGAATTACACTTTCTTTCCTATATTATCATTAAAGTAGAGAAATTATATGAGAACAATGTCATTCTATCTTTTTGCAACTAGAAATGAACTGTATGCAACTGAAAGAATTTAACGTAGATTAGGCACACTAAAGAACACCCGCAATTGTGTTCATTAGTTAATCAGATGTGTTTTATATTAAATGTTACTCCAGTTCGACAAACAGTGCTATAAATAACTTTTTTGAATCTCTAACAATACGGAAATTCAGTTTTTTTTGTTCGTTTTGATTTTTGTATATAACTAAAGAATTCAGTTTTATTTTGGCTGGGAACTATGAAGGAACATTTCATTACTCCAGATATTATATCTTTATATTTTCCCACAGGTCCATGTGAGTACGGACAGACGCTGATAGAGGGAGGCTGTTACCAACCCCAGTGTTTAAACTCGTCTTATTGTCAATTAAAGGAAGATCAAGTCAGGGACACGTTCGTATGTTGTCTTGATAAAGCCATGTTTCCACATGGTATGCCAATTCATTAATTTACAGTTTTTTACATACCCAACAACGCTTGCTTTCATCAAAGTATTTATAAAAAGGCAACTTCATGGCGTCAACATGAGTTTTTTTAACTGTCGTCTTTCGTTTGAAGAATAATTAAAGGTACACAATTAGCCTACAACTAAAATACGAAATCAACCACATTAGGCGGCACGGGCTTATTACATGTCATAAGTGTCTTTCGTTTTATTTGGCTTGGAAATTTAAGTTCGGTTTGACTAGATTTTGAGTTAATCAAATGTATAAAATTCTGCTTTGGTAGATCATGCATCCAATTAAACAATCTTCGCAACGCCTTTAGATTTGATATAATAATACTTTGTAGAATGAAATAATTTGAAATCGGTCATGTGACCCTTCCTCGAGTGAAATCAGTCATGTGACCTTTCTGGAGTGAAATCATTCAAATGTGACTCTCCCTTAGTGTAATCATTCAAGTGACCCTTCTCAATTACTACCAGTCGCATGACCCTATTCGAGTGAAATCAGTCACGTGATCAAGTGAAACAATACAAATAGCTCTAATGATAGATTTGTTTGCCAAATTGAACGAAATATTCTTTAAATATTAAAATACTACACTATTTTTTTTCAGAGAGTGACTGTGGTAAACATGAGAAACTCGACAAGTCTATAAAAAAGAATGTGAACGTGAGCACTCTGGCAGATTGCCAAGAAATTTGTCAAGAAGGAATTTGTAAAATGCCTGACGCTAATAGATTCCCTGCATGTTGTGTAGAAGCGACTAAAATTGGTAACGTATTTTCTAATACTTTTCTAATAAGAGAATATTCAAGTTTTATTTCTGTAAATACATGATTTATTTTCATCTTGAGTCGGCAGTTGGATCGGGACATTCCTTTATGTCTCCAAGTTACCAAATAGATACAAACATTTACACAATGTTATTTTGTAATTTAATACCACTAGCTAACTTAATTTTATCATGAATATACATTTTGCGACATTTAACGGAAAGACATTGCGACATTTAGCGGTGGTTGCGATATTTAGCGACAAGGGTGTGGCATTTAGCGGCAAGTGCTACAGTTTGGCAACGTTGCGACATATTTTAAAACGGCGCCACAGGCACTCACTTATGATGAGAACACAATCACTTATGATGAGTAATCACATGAAATACAGCCAAAAACAAGAAGTATCTTTTTTAAAAAAAATACTCGACCGAATTAAAACTGGTTAACTTGATAGTTCTTAGTTTTGCATGCAAAGTTCTTACGTCACTAGAAAATGTGATGAGATCTGAATGCAATGTAAAATGTTTTGTGGGAGGAAGTATTGTTAAACAGAACTTAAATATCTGAGCCATTTAACTACTATCATGTCCATTTAATTTTTGAACTATCCTTTACATATCATTTTATTTCATTATGGCAAGAACTATCCTTTACATATTATTTTATTTCATTATGGCAAGAACTATCCTTTACATTTTATTTCATTTCATTATGGCAAGAACTACCCTTTACATTTTATTTTATTTCATTATGGCAAGAACTATCCTTTACATTTTAGTTTAGAACTATCTTAGAATGACCAGAATTATCCTTTACATTTTAGTTTAGAATGGCCGATGATATTCGGCAAACATGGGGAAAACAGATTTTAATATTAAAGTTAATATCAAGAAAATTTCGTTTTAACTTATTTTTAAGCATAAAATAAAAAGAAAATTTGTTTGTTGTGTCAGATGTAGTTTTATTTCATCTCGTGAACTTTAAAAACAGTGTTCTCACTATCAAATTTATCTATAAAATAAAAGATATCACCTTTGTTAAGCTTTTTCTCCAGAATCTATTAACTAAAGACATAATAATTACATAATTGCACGTATTTAAAAAAATGAATTAAGGCAGTGCAAATTTTTAAGAATATAAGCTTGTAATATTTTTATCCTACTTAAAACATTATCAGGATCAAAAAACTCCTTTTGTGACCAAAATATCTACGACATTATGTATGAAAGTTGTTTTCTGTCTATTTCTGTACCTCAGGTTTATATACAAAAAATGTGTTAATTAAGTGTTGAGCAAACTAGGTAAAAATACCCAACTTACAAATTCACAAATCCTGAATTTTTAAATGGTTACAACAATATTTCTGTACCATTCTTATATAAAATGTATCACTTGCTGAAATGTTGAAATTAATAAAGAGCCGTTTTTCAGCACATTGTGAACATTACACATGTATGCTGCATGTAAGTTTTTTGTTTGTTGTTTTGTTTGTATTTTTTGTTTTCTGCCGAAAATAATATCTGCATAATTCATTTTTTTTAGATTCAGTTATAACTGCATTCAGGTATACGATGGATAATCGATAATGTTAAAAAGTCATCTTAAACTTAGAAGTGTATACTTCATCAAATTCTTAACAAAAATACAGAAAATAACAAATGTTTACCATCTTGTTCAAAATAAGTGACAATTTGAAATTTAAAGTTAAAAATAACAACAACAATAACAACACCATATTTTCATTGAGTTATAAAATGTCTGAAACCGGGAAATTGCCACATGTGCTTGCTATACCATGAAAGCTCTCGTAAAATTTTGAATTTTGAGAAAATTCGACAAGAAGATTATCACATCATTTGATATACATTACAATTCCGGGTACCCTCCAATAAATTTCCAGGTTTCCAGGATATCCTGAAGTAACAGCAAAGTTATTTATAAAAATATTACTTGTAATAAATCGAGTAATATTTTCTTTGACCATACATAAAAGTCACGTGGGTTGGTACATAAAAGAGGTGTTAAAATATAATTGTACTACACCTTTTGTTAGCCATTGAAATAGTATTTAATGTATAAAGGACTTTCAAAAATGGTTATTATTCAGAGCGGGCGCTATGGTGCAGTGGTAACACTGTCTGCCTTCAAATCAAGGGGTCGTGAGTTTGATCCCCCGCTTCTCCATTGAACGAATAAATGACTACAAGACTGACAAAACCAGGACATCGACACAGAATGACGGCAACGATGATATATACAGAGAAGACCTTAACGGAACAGGAAACAAGTACCGAAAGTACAAGAACGAAGACGACGACCGTTAACAGAAGAAAGAATGAAGACAAGAACTGACAACAAGAAGAACAGAGACAGGGACCGATAACAGAAGAACTAACAAGAAGCGAACAGACACGAGGACCGAATACAGAAGAACAGGGACAGGGCCCGATAACAAAAGAACTGACAACAAGCGGTAAGAGACGAGGACCGAATACATAAGACCAGAGACAGTGCCTGATAACAGAAGAACTGACAACAAGCCAGCAGACACGTCGACCAATAACAGAACAACAGAGACAGAAACCGATAACAGAGGAACAGTAACAGGGTCCGATGACAGCAGAACTGACAACAAGCGAATAGAGATAGGAACCGATAATAGAAAACTGACAACAAGCGAACAGTGACGTCGACCGATAACAAAAGAACAGTGACAAGGACCGACAACAGAATAACTGACAATAAGCGAACAGAGACGAGGAGGACGGAATACAGAAAAACAGAAACGGGAACTGATGACAGAAGAACTGGCAACAAGCGAGAAGGGACGTCGACCAATAACAGAAGAGACAGGGGCCGATAATAAAATAACTGACAACAAGCGAACAGTGACGTCGACCGATAACAAAAGAACAGTGACAAAAACCGATAACAGCAGAAATCCCAACAATCTGACAGAGACAGTGACCGTTAACAGAAGAACAGTGACAAGGATCAATAACAGCAGAAATGACAACAAGACAGCGATAACAGAATAAAGATGACTAAAGAATGGAGAAGTTGATCGATAACAGAAACGGGAACCGATGACAGATGAATTGTCAACAACAGGAGACCAAGACGATGACAGAAGAACAAAGACGACGACCGATAACAGAAAAACAGACATCTGACAACAAAAGAACTGAGACGAGGACCGATTACAGAAAAATGAAGATCACAACCAATAACAGAAAAACTGACAACAAGAGAACTGTGACGAAAGAGAAATTTAATGCACATGTTTAAACCCCCTCACGTAAACCCCCTCACGCTGTGCAAATATAAGTATATGAGCAGCCACTATATATGCTTGCGTCAGTCTAGCAGATAGGGCGGAGAAGACTGTAGACCCTAAATATAGGTCTCTTATGTTTAAATTCCTTAAAATTTTCAGTGCTATATCTTTAATATTACTTCTATATTACTATTATATAGGCCTATAGAAAAATGTCCGCCATCTTGGATTATTCGGCCATATTGGATTGTTTTGTTTTTTAATTCTGTTTTGGTGTCTAATTTGTTTTTACCTAAACATGCTTTGTGACAAATTTCAGGCTTTTCCTTTCCTTAAAACTTTTATTTGATATATTAAAGAAATTTGGCGGCCATTTTAGTGGTCATTTTAAATGGCCATTTCAATGGTCAAGATCAAGTTTTTCAATTCGGTATCCACCTTTATCGGATTCAGCATACCTTAAATAGGTAGTATACACCAAGACACCACTTGTACTACAAAATGCCTCTAGCATCTTATAGGGAGCCAAATTCTCAAAATCAGTCCTGTATATACCAAGAGTCAGTGAAAACAATTTAAGAGTGGCTTTGTAAATATATGACCAACCTTTTTCTTTGTAGTTAAGCAGGCAGACGACGGATCTATTCATGGAAGTGTCATAGCTGTCATAATAACCCCCATTGTTGTATTACTTATAGCAGGAACTTTTATTGGGGTGAGTTCAACTTTATTTTTACTTAATGAGATATATGACTTTTGACGGAGACGCACTGGTATTTGCTCATTTGCTTTTAATAGATATATAACGATAATGTTGCAAAAACTTCTGGCCCAACCCTTTTGTACATTGTCTAATTATGTTGGTGTAAAAAATTGATGTATATTTATCCACAGGAACTTGAAATATAATCAATACATCATAAAATATACCTACCGTATATATTAATGATCTAGCCCTTATCTCTAATTAAAAACATGATTTTATAGAGATAAGGGCTATATCATTAACATATACGTATATTTTGAGATGTATTGATTACATTTCAAGTTAATAGTCCACGAAACCCCCCCCTACACCCCAAGCCCCCCCCAACATTTCGTATTAATACTTGACGTTCGTCGAGTGATAGAATAACGCCGCCGGTGTCAGGCCCCGTGTTTATTCAAACGTATCAAGATTCACGAGAGTTTAAAAAGAATATTAAAATGTTGAAAAAATAATCAAGAACGACATTCCACCTTGTTTGTTTCAGTACTACGTCTACAGAACTAGGCTACAGGATAAAAGCAGGAAAATTGACAGGTAAATTGAATAACAAAGTTAATATGCACCATTTGGAAGTTAAAGCTGCATAATTTTCCGTGTCTTTCATTTAGAAAAAAACATAGCAGAACATACCCACTGAGCCAGTTTTTTAGTCTTCTGAATAGTTTTGTAACAAAAATCAATAAGTAGTTCTCTTTAAAGATTGATGTATCATTTATTTAAATGGGAACTGTAAATATTTTACATGCAGCCATAGACAAATGCAGGAGCTTTCAGAAAATGTACTTTTTTTACCAATGTTGATATCTTGTTAATCTATTGTAATCTTATTATCTATGACTCTGAAAAAACCAAAATATATATTATGGTCATCTTTTACTTCATCTTATTTTCATCAAGTATGAAAACATTTTTGAATGGTCCATTTTCTTCTCTTTGGTATATAGCCAAACAAATTCAATAGAAATCACCGGGGTGGATGAAATGATTGGGGGCGAACAAGCCTGGAACGATGACGTCGCCACTTTCTCCGATATTTCACCAAAGATGAACGGGTTTCTCGCGGAACGGGAAACAGACGTACGTCACGAATATGACGAATTTGACCACGTTTCTACTCCAGAATTCGATGGAAGAGTACAATCTATTGAAAAGTTAAGAACAGGTGGAAATACTCAGCAGTATGATAATCATATATATATAGCTGACAATGAAAAACGTAATGACGAAGAAATCTCTACGATATTTGACTCTTACTGAGTGATTGATCAACATTAAAACAAGTGTTTTTGTCTCTTAAAATACCATCCATTTGCTTTTTCTGGTTTTCCGCCGATTTTTAACGCATACATTTTGGCCATATCTCCACAGCCGACCCAACTAACCGTCTTTCCTGGATAACTAACCAGTAATTACAAAATTTTCTGCAAGTGACCAACAACTAATACCACATGATTAGTGAATCACCGTCGAGAGACAAAATTAATGATCATTAGTCTTCATGTCAGGGATCAATCGTCATGAAGAAATAACACTCAATTCGAGGCTCGAGTCAGCGTCCCATCGATTATTAAAGTGAAATGCCTCAGGTACTATTATGCATGTTTGTATACCACATTGACGTGAGTCTATAGAGTGTCATGCAATTCAAATCATGTCCGGCAAAAAATCGATTTTTGTCAAAATCAAATAAAAATTATAACACGAACACGGGTGTAAAATGTAACAGTCGGTGAGTAAAATGTAACAGCCGTCCCATGATGTGTAATTTGTAAATGGAGTTGCGTTTTGGATAATAAAATAACACTACTTTTGACTGTAAGCACATTTTTATTTGATAATTATATATAACAGGATTGCATAAATAACAACATGAAGTAATTATTAATTTTTTGTCTATTATCACATTGCTCTTCAACCAAATATCCTTTACAGAATAATAAAAATGGTTGATAGTTTAAACACTTCATATAATGAAGGTCACCAAGTGCATTTATCAATATGTCCTCAATATACATAATATGCATGTAACTTAATAAATGATTCCCAGAAGCGGCAGGCATTTCTGCCCAGGGGTCATTTCAAAATAACACAGGGGTCATTTCAAAACAACACAGGGGTCATTTCAAAATAACACAGGGGTCATTTCAAAATAACACAGGGGTCATTTCAAAACAACACAGGGGTCATTTCAAAACAACTTTTTAAGAAAATCAACCAAGCACTTACAAGGGGGCCGATTCAAACACCGGTTGTTGTTGTTGTATTAAGTCTACACAACACTCAAAGAAGCCAAATAAAACCCCATTATAAGACTTAACTATTATAAAAGAACTAAAAATATGGTTGCACAGATTGAAATATTAATTTTTGGACAAAATTGTGTAAAAAGCTCACCAATTTTGTCATAACTGCACTAATATACACATATATTTGCAAAAAGTGAAAACATGAAACAAAAGATGGATTTATGATGGTTTGAACAAGATGGAAAAAAGTAAAAAAGAAAACAATGGAGGGATCTAATTGTTGAAGACAAAATAAAGGGAACTAGGACAATACATTAGAAGGAGACAAGAGAATAAATAAAAACTATATTACATGAACTAATAAAAACACTAAAGAAACATTGACAATAGTAATATATAAATGAATCAACAATAAGCAAGAAATAATTAAATAATAATTGAATAATAAATATAATGAATTAAATATTCAATCAACCAAAAGACTAGTTAAACACATTTATTTGATTGATCAATAATCATTTGCAAATATACTTGACTGGTTATAATTGGATGAATATAAACTTTTGTAAGATTATATTACCAAAGAAGTGAGTTATACATGACATATAACCTGTAACAATGGCATATAACCTGTAACAATGGCCATATAACCTATAACAATGGCCATATAACCTGTAACAATGGCCATGTAGCCTATAATCATGGTCATATCACATGTTATAATGGCACCATATAATCTAGCATATAACAATGACCATACTACCTGGAAACATGGTCATATACTATTATAGTCATATAATATGTAACCACATAACCATGGTCATAATTGTTACCTATAACCAGAGCCATATATAGCCTATAACCCCAATTTACAATTTTACATAATATCACTCTTTAATGACAAATATAAACCGATTTGATAAATTTGCAGCAGCCAAATTGTACACCATGGTTTTAGACAATTACAGCCATACTATTTCACCCTTGACCTTAAATTTGCCTCTGAAAAGGACATTAAAATGTCAAGTGTGAATTTATGCATCAAATAAAATGCAATTAATTAACAAAGATATATCATGGTAAACCAATGATGTATGTAATGGGTTATATGGTAAATATCAATGATATATAGGATTTAACAATAAGATATATGGTTAATAAATGTAATATTGAATATAACCAGTAAGATATAAATTATATCACTTATTATGAAAACTTGCTGTTTTTTTTCTTGAAATTAAAAGAACTCTATAATAATTCATGAACATGTAACTTAACTAAAAGAAAATAACATTCACTCATTTATAATCCATTTTCAAAACAAACATATTTTAATGAAAATGGCACATATTATTACTTAAAGTAAATATTTTTTAAATTCAATTTCTCACTGAAATATATGGTAAAGACACACACGGATGCACACATAGACACATTTATATGTAGGTAACATACAATTTAATGAAAGGGGACTGTTGTGCGAAGTTAACAGTTTTACCCCTTAAAGCCTCATTTTATAGATGTAAGAAATATGGCCCAGACCCAATGGACTGATAAATTAGCTTACATGCAAGCTCCAAACAGCCCTGGCAGTGAAAACATTCAACAACAAATATTTATATATAGTTCAAGCTCTGCAGTGAGACCCCTCTCTACAGCAGCAACCTCTTTACAACAACTGTATTAATTAAAAGACAACCTTTCTAGTGCAACTCCGAACATCAACCAACATTTTTTTTGCCACCAAAGGGTGTTGCTCTACAAAGGTTTGAGCTGTAATAATAATCTTTGGGAAAGAAACTCAAGAAAATGAAATCAACCATTTTTCTTTAACAATACTTTTTGTGTTTCAAATCCATGTCAAGCTAACTACATGTTGGTTCAATATAAACTGTCAAAAATCAAAATACACTGCCAAAAACTAAAATACACTTTCGAGAATTAAATGAACTGTCAAAATTACCTCGACATTATGAAAAAGGTAACTACACCTAATATTTAGAATGCTAATTTTTTATGACTGAAACATGTTAAATTATCAAAGCAAAACAATAGGTCTGTTATAAACATTGCCATTTTCATGTATACAATGCCCCTGAAGTCTGAACACTATCAAAAATTTAAATAAACCAAAATGAACATTATAATTCAATTATTTTTATGAGGAATGAGACAGCGATCAACCCTGTGTTAAAAGGCCACTTCTGAACAAAGGCCACAATTTATACACATGGATGAAAGTTATTCCTGAATGTCATATACACAGCACTTTTGTTTAAAGTTATTTTTAGAAAGCAATGGCTCTTGATGTCAAAGTCTCTTAAAGAGTTAACCTTTCCTTTGTTTACAATTTTATGTAATTGGCAGGACCAGCTATCCAATTGCTACACAGGGTTCCTGCGTAGACACTGGTTGATCTGGTTTTACACAAATGAACACATGACTTTGTTTTTAGATACTGTCTGTGAGCAGTTGACATAGTAATGGGCTAAAATTTTCACGGCTAAAAAGAGGAAAGGTCCATTGAAAAAGGTTTGACAAATTTTTGTCAACATCATGCATAAGTCCACAAAGAAAATTTATTTTCTCTCCAAAATGATGATGGCTTTTTATATTCAGAACTGAACTGACTATAGGAAATGATTATCCAAATATTATGATTCTTGCACAGTTCTGTTTGAACACAAAAATCTTAAGCAGTGAGTAAGTAAGGAACAACTTTATTTAACAAGGCTTACATTTGATTTCCCGATCTTCAAAGTGGCCCTCAGCTGATAATCTGCAGTCAAATAACTTACAGCAGCAATAATAGAAAAAGAAAACGAAAACATACTGTGTGTAAGTTTGAATGACGAGAAATAATCAGTTTTAAAAGTTTCAATAATTTCTCTTTTTTTAAAAAAACCAAAGTCATAAAATTTGTAAGTTATCTTGAAATGATTTATCTACACAGCACAAAATCTGACTGTCAGTAGTAAGTATGGCACAATTAAATAGACAAAATATGAGCACAAACAAAACATATACACTTTTATGCCACTGTTAAAACAATGGGGGAAAACAAAAAACAATAATTTGTCCATAAACTATCTGGACAAATTTTTTTCTTAACCTAAACATGTATGAGATTTCCCCCTATATAAATCGGTATTCTAAAAAATAATCTCAAAATTTTGTTTTTGGACAGAAAAATAAATAATATACTGGCAAAAATAAACTTTAGAAATATCACAGAAAAAAATACTATAATCCTCACCACCCTAAATATTTTAAATGGACTTGTCTGTTTTTAAATCTGGACAAAACCATTCATTGTTGTAAGGGAAAATTTCGAAATTTGTACTGATTGAATAGCAAAAAGTGTGGACCATAATTAGAGGGCGCCGATGTACCCACTGATCTTAGGCTGTACTTGTACCATACATACAATTAGTTGCTGTCTAAAGAATAGGGGTTAATACAAAAAATAAATACATGTATATTCAATGGATTTAGGAGAAAAAAAAAAGAATTATTATTGACAAATTTTGCAAGGTTTGAACACCAAATCCCTTAACAGGTTAGCTTAAATATACCCACTTTCAAATCTATTTAAACATATAGATAAAAAAAATGCTAAAGATAAACAAGGCAGTCTGAAGGACAGCTAAATCCCCTTCCGCAGTGAACCTTTTATAGCCATGACCTTGATGTTATGCCGTAATCACCATCATGAGGCTTTGTGCTTATATATCATAAGCACAAAGCCTCATGATGGTGATTATTTGTGCCATGTTATTTAAAATCTTCCATAAAGTAAAAAAAAAGTTATGGAGAACATATAACCTTGACATTTGTGCCAAGCTATTTTAAAATCTTTGAATTGTCAATAAGTTAAAGAGCAGACATGAAAAATAGATGTTTTTTACATTGGACCTTTAAGTGTGACCCTGACCTTCAGAGTTGTGACTTGATTATTGTGCTCTGCCAATGGTGTCATAATTGTGATCATTTCTGCCAAGTTATCTTAACAAGAGGGCCATGATAACCCTGAAATCGCTCATCACCAGTATATAGGCCCCTGGGCAAAGGCCAATTTTAAACCAGGGGCTTTTATTTGAACAAATTTGGTAGACACCAATAAGAAGATGTTTCATGATAAATATCTAAGCTGTAACTCTTTGGGGTTTTGATAAGAAGATCTTTTAAGTTTTGACTATACAATGAAACCTGCCTTAGCAGCCACCTGTCTTAAACAGCCAGTATCAATATGACCTAAACTGACATTCTGTTCTAATTTTTTACTGTCTTTAACTGCCACCTGTCCTTAGCAGCCACTCCTTGTCCCTCCCTTGAGTGGCTGCTCAAGAAAGGTTTGACTGTATACATATAGGGAAAAACAATGACCCCCCCCCCTCGGAGGGGCCAATTTTAACCCCAGGGCTTTTATTTGAACAAACTTGGTAGACACTAGAAGATATTTCATGCTTAGTATCTAAACTCTAGCTCTTTGGGTTTTTTAAGAGAAGATTTTTTAAGTTTTTACTATACACATATTTATAAGGAAAATCAATGACCCCTGGGGCAGGGCCAATTTTAACCCAAGGGCCCTTATTTGAACAAACTTGGTAGACACCCATTAGAAGATGTTTCATGCTAAATATCTTAGCTCTAGCTCTTTGGGGTTTTTAAAAGAAGATTTTTAAGTTTTAACTATACACATAAAGGGAAAAACAATGACCCCCCTGGGGCGGGGCCAATTTTTACCCCAGGGCTTTTATTTGAACAAACTTGGTAGACACTGACTAGATGATGTATCATGCCAAATATTTAAGCTCTAGCTCTTTCAGTTTTCTAAAAGAAGATATTTTATTTTTTTCTTTCCGTTGCCATGGCAACCAGAGTTCTGCTTGGAATTAAAGTCTTTGAACAATTTTTAATGTTGACTACCAAAGAAACATTCCTGTGAAGTTTGGATGAAATTGGATGAATGGTTTATGAGGAGATGTCATTTAAACATTTGACCTCTAAGTGTGACCTTGACCGTAGCAACCCAATTATTGTGCTCTACACATCGTCTCATTATGGTGATAACTTGTGCCATGTTATTTAAAAAAAAATTCAATAGTTTAAAGTTATGGAGGGGACACGAAATGAAGACTTTTATTATGAAATGAAGAGCTTGTAACATTTGACCTTTAAGTGTGACCTTGACCTTGGTGGTAGCAACCCAATTATTGTGCTGGCGCTCTGCACATTGTCTCATTTTAGTGATTACTTGTGCCAATTTGTTTAAAAAAAATTCCGGCGGTTAAAAAAATTATGGAGTGGACACGAAAGTGTTACGGACGGACGGACGGACAGACAGACGGAGGCCATTCCTATAATCCCCTTTCCACTATGCGGAAGGGGATTAACAAAATGCACTGCTCTAAAGAAATAGTTTGTGACAGAAGAAAATAAACTATCTATAACATCATAAGACTGTCAATAAAGGCGTTCCACTGAGGTGTAAAATGTCCTAATTTTAAATTCTAACACTGATAATCAGGTGCACTTAAAATGGAACAAGAGCTGTCGGTAGGACAGCAAAGCTCGACTATTCTTAGTGCTTGATAGTAAAAAAAATGCTTGATACAGTTACCTCCTCCTGTTTACAGGTTGGGGTCATGATGGTGAACAAGTGTGCAAAATTTCAAAGCCATATGTCAATGGACTTTGAAAATATTTGAACTATTACAAAAACTTTAACGTAAATTCTAAGTCGAAAAAGGGGCATAATTCTGTCAAAATGCTTGATAGAGTTACCTCCTCCTGTCTACAGGTTGGGGTCTTGATGGTGAACAAGTGTGCAAAGTTTCAAAGCCATATGTCAATGGACTTTGAAAATATTTGAACTATTACAAAAACTTTAACATAAGTGGTTACGCCGACGCAGACGCCGGCGCTGACGCCGACGCTCGGGTGACTACAATAGCTCTACTTATTCTTATCGAATAGTCGAGCTAAAAATGTGTAGGCCAGCCTGAGTTTTAACTGGTGGTACATACATGTTCAACAAGGCTCACTGCTGCTAGCATTCAATCAGTTAGTAATTCTTAATATAACTTCTTAGCCAACCAAGAAATTGGGGTCTAATTACAAAAAGATGGAAAGAAAAATTTTAAAACAAATTTTTCTTTTGCAATTTTAGTAACCATGGAATCATGGAAGTGTAACTGAATTAAAAAAAAATTAAAATAATATTAAATTCAGTACAACATAATACATGTATTGAACTTGCCTTCCTAAACTTGACAATTCTTTCACAACACTAAAACACAAGTTATTAAATTAACTTGATCTAGATCTTAAATTATTCTTTGTAGAGCAACCACCTTTTTAAAGTAACAGTACATGTACCATTATTTATCCAAAAGTAAGACTTCACAATAATTTTAACAAGAGGGCCATGATGGCCCTGAAGTCGCTCACCTGTATATAGGCCCCTGAAGCGGGGCCAGTTTAAACCCCAGGGCTTTTATTTGAACAAACTTGGTAGACACCCGTTAGAAGATGTTTCATGCTAAACATCTAAGGTCTAGCTGGTCAAGTTATTTCTTTACACATTAAGTTAAAAACAGTGACACACCTGGGGCGGGGCCAATTTTGACCCCAGGGGTTTTATTTGAACAAACTTTGTAGACACTCACTAGAAGATGCTTCGTGCTTAATATCTAAACTCTAGCTATTTGAGTTTCTTCAAAGAAGATTTTTTAAGTTTTTGTTATACACAAATAAGGAAAATGAATGTCCCCGGGGCGGGGCCAATTTTGACCCCAGGGCTTTTTTTTTAACAAACTTGGTAGAGACTCACTAGATGATGTTTCATGCTTAGTATCTAAAATCTAGCTATTTGTTTTTTTTCAAAGAAGATTTTTTAAGTTTTTGCTATACACATATAAGAGAAATCAATGACCCCCGGGGCGGGGCCAATTTTGACCCCAGGGCTTTTATTTGAACAAACTTGGTAGACACCCATCAGAAAATGTTTCATGCTAAATATCTAAGCTCTAGCTCTATGGGTACTTTAAAAGAAGATTTTATTAAGTTTTTACTATATGCATATAGGGAAAATCAATAACCCCCTGGGGCGGGGCCAATTTTGACCCCAGGGCTTTTGTTTGAACAAACTTGATAGACACTTATTAGAAGATGTTTCATGCTAAATATCTTAGCTCTTGCTCTTTGGGTTCTTTAAAAGAAGATTTTATAAGTTTTTACTATATGCATATAGGGAAAATCAATGACCCCCTGGGGCGGGGCCAATTTTGACCCTAGGGCTTTTATTTGAACAAACTTGGTAGACACCCATTAGAAGATGTTTCATGCTAAATATCTTAGCTCTAGCTCTTTGGGTTCTTTAAAAGAAGATTTTATAAGTTTTTACTATATGCATATAGGGAAAATCAATGACCCCCTGGGGCGGGGCCAATTTTGACCCCAGGGCTTTTATTTGAACAAACTTGATAGACACTCACTAGAAGATGTTTCATGCCAAATATCTAAGCTCTACCTCTTTGGGTTTTTTAAAAGAAGATATTTAAAGTTTTTTCTATCGGTTGCCATGGCAACCAGAGTTCTGCATGGAATTAAATTCTTTGAACAATTTTTAAAGGTGACCACCAAAGGAACATTCCTGTGAAGTTTGGATGAAATTGGCTCAGCGGTTTATGAGGAGATGTCATTTAAAGAAAAAGTTTACGGACGACGGACGGACGGACGGCCGGACGGACGGACGGACGCCGGACGAAAAGCGATCACAAAAGCTCACCCTGTCACTTTGTGACAGGTGAGCTAATAATAATAAATGATATAAATAATATTTCAATAAATTTCTGCGATAAAAATATTTTACCCAAAGATGAGCATAAGCTACTGATTACATTCCCTAAACTTACAGAAAAACTTTGACATTAATCTACATTTAAAGTCGTTACCCACTTTAAATAAAATAGCAGCTCTGTGCCAAATAGATGTTATCCAGAACTCATAAGTTTTTCCCAACTAAAACCATAGGTATGAACAAACTTTTACCGTTAAAGCTTTAAGGTGCACTACCCGTCACAATAGATTTGTCAACAAGTTGTGCTTATTTTCGAGGCTGTAACTGTAAAAGTTTGTTTATACCTACGGATAAACTGTAAAAACCCGAATATTCTCAATTCCGGAGTTAGTCTATTTATCTAAAGTATCCAAACACATTTTTCCATATACCATTCTTTCCATTCTGTACAGAACTTGTATTATCAACATCTGACAGCTCTACGCCATTCCTACCATGTTCTTCACCATCATATTCAAATCCATTTAATGTACTGACATCAGAATGGGCATTTTTGTTTTTGTTCAGGTCTGCCCCATTTGCGTAAGATGCCCCGTTAAATATATTTTCACCATTGTAATATTTTTTACCGTAAATAGTTGAACACAAATCATCGGATTTACTTTTGGCAAGAGAATAACCTTTTCCAGTACTTTCGTTATCATTTGCTGCTTCATCAATGTCATGACAACCGTTAGCAAATGATTTCAAATATGTAGGGAGCTTCTCAAACTTATTTTCAGGTGACACTGGTAAACTGGCAGATTTTCTCAATTCACCCTTCCTATGAACTTTACTAGATAATGGGACTGTCTCAAAATGATGAATAGTTCCCTGTACCCCATTTTTGTCAGATTCACGACTTGAACTTCCAACACTTTCAATAGATGATAAATGCTGCTTAGGTAAAGATTTTTGACGCCTATGACCTTTTACAATTTTTTTGTCCTCTAATCTAAATTCACTTTGATCCACACCTCTGTTTACACTTCCATTAACATAAAGTTTCGGAATTTTCACATTCAATTTTGGACTGACTTTTGAGCTCCCTGATACAGGGGGCTTCTTAGCCAGTCCTTTAGTTCCCATTTTGGACCCAAAATCATCTTTTTGCACACTTTTAGCAAGTGCTTCACCATCAATTTTCAATTTCTTAGCTTCGTTTACCTCCGTACCCAGTGAATAACTACGCTGCTTTGATGTATTCGACCATCCACTTAAAAATGAACCAAAACAACTAGACTGTGTCTGTGATATATTGCAAGAAGCTGCTGCACCAGATTCTTTAGACTGGGTACTTTTAGCAAGTAGGTGACTGGTTTCTTTCGTGGACTGGTTACTTATGTTTGTAGGCAGTAGACTGGTTTCTTTAGACTGGAAATCACTGTTTGTAGAATCCTGACTAGAACGATGTGTAGAACTGTTCCATGTTAAAACAGAACTTCCGGAACTTGAAGAGGAAAACCGGTGTTCAAGATTTTTATGCTTCTTTTTCTTCTTCTTTTTAACTGCATCACTTCCCTGAAGAAACAAAAGCTGTTCATTTAACCAACTCATGATAAATATTACCTAGTGGAGAAGGAGCATGCTCCATATTTCTCAGTGATGGATAGTAAACTTCATATTCTCTAAATAAAGAAATAATTTCAGGGATTATTTTTGGCTTATTTTATAGCTGTTATTGGGTTATATTCCCAATTGAAAATACATGTAGTATATTATTTTCCCAATCCACACAAGAAAATATTCCCAATTGAAAGTTACAAAAATAAAATTATTGAATAAAGAATTCTAAAATCTTTGAAAATAAGGGCTTCTTCACTGTAATAATGCTTAAATGTTTGAAGATGCCATCTTAGACAGTGATTGTTTGCCAACATTTAATCACTGCAAAATTTCAGTCATGAATTTCCCCCCAATTTTTAACAAAATATCGCTGAAATTCCCAATTCCATGGGTATGGGTTATGTTCCCAAAATCCTAGAAAAAATCCCTGAATTTGAATTAAAGGTCTTACTGACCTTGGACTTTTTTACCTAAAAATGGGCATGGCAGGCAAAACATATCAAGATGCAGCCACTTATCAAGTTCCCATGTCACAATTGAAATTGTTGACCATAAACAAAACCTTAATCTATAGAGGTCATTGTTACTTTGACCCCTGACCCAAAATTAGTATGGCAGGTTACATGAGTAAAACTCATCAATGTGCATTTACAATTTTGAAGTTCAATGGTCAGTGGCCGATTGAATCTTATTATAACGTGTCCCCGTGACCTTAACATTCAACATTTTGACCTAAAACTGTGTGTGGCAGATAGAAATCATCAAGATAAATCCACATAATTATTAAACTTAAAAATGTTCATGTAATAGCTTTCTTAGTATTGAAGTACATTGTTAATGACCATACACAAAAACCTAAACCAAAAGGTTAACCAACACTGATACCATGAGTCACAACACTTTTTAGATATTGTGCAAAACAACCTTCATTTGGAAATGGTCTGTTAAATTATATTTTCTCATTTCCGTAGACTATACATGTTTTTCCTCATTTCTCTAGATTTTTACTCCTTTATTTTCAAACATCCATATTTCCCATTAATAAATTTCCCTTTACTATATTTCCTCATTTCCCTAGACTATATTTTCTTATTTCTCTATACTTTACCTTATTATTTTCCTACATTTCCCATGACTATAATGCCTCATTTCTCTACTTCCTAATTTCTCTGTACTTTAACTTCCTTATTTCTCAATAATCTATCTTTCTATTTCAAAAATCTAAATTTCTTCATTAAAAGAAGTTTCACATATTTAGCTAGACTGTATTAACTAATTTCTAAAGACTGTATGTACTTGTTTTCTTAGACTATATTCACTTATTTCCCTAGACTATATTTATTCACTTATTTCCCTAAACTATATTCACTTTATTTCTAGACTATATTCACCGATCTCCCTAGACTGATCTTTACGTCATACCAATAATACAAAATATTTCATGTCATATAGCGACTTTCCAGCTTTACTGATAGAAGAAGACCTTAAGGGCCCCTCTGGCATACCTAAGTAGAACCACCAACGTTTCGGTTAGTAAGCTGGATAGCTTTCTCACAAGAAAGAATCCAAAGGCGCTAATGCACCAGTCAAACCTAGAGCGGTGAAAGGTTAGTTGTTTGAGGTCAACCACCTTAACCACTCGACCACAATCGCCCTTTGATCATAATCATTAAAATAACAATAGTTAGAATTGAAGTTCAAACTTACCGGTTTAAAGGGAAAAATTGCCACATTGGAAATTGCAGAACTTGCGTCAGCAGAATCTGAAAACAGAAAATACAACAAACAAATTAAAAGCAATAATCCACTAGATAAAAAAGATTATTAGCTAACTTTTTTGTTTTAACCTTTAATCTGCTGGAACAGAAAGTAATTTAGTCTTTGCCACTAGCATAGAGCCGTGGTAGCCTGTGCATTTGTGTAGTCAGAACCGGATCTATACCGTAAGAAGAAAAATCTTTGATTTTTCAATACTAAAATCCATTAAATTCTAAATGGACTGTTCCAAATTCAAAGCAATAAACAATTTTAGCAGGTTAAGGTGTTAAGGGTTTTGATCTATACAAAATACTTAAGAAATATTAAGAAGTTTTTCCTACAAATTAACATATAGGCCTGCCCCTTATTTGACAATTTGAGTCAAAACGGATCAAGAATAGAAATTTGTGGAATATTACTTTAAATAACTTAACACTAAAAAAAATCTAAATATATAGAATAAACTAGAAATGTGTCCATAGGACACGGATGCCCCCACACGCCACTGTTCTGTCAATCTAATGACTCTAGGTCAAATATTTTTTGGACTACATGTGCAACAAGTTGAAAACTAAAAATCAACAAAAGGCCATAATTCTGTTAAATTTGGTCGCAGCAAAAATTCCTTCCTTTACTGCCATCTACACATTAAGGTTGTTAATCCCTGGAAGTTTAAGCAAAATCTGCAATCCGGTTAAAAAGGAGTTGCGTTCACAAAATTATTACATAGTATATAGTGAAAAAAACAACAAAGGGCCATAATTCTGTTAAATTTGGTCGCAGCAAAATTTCCTTCCTTTACTGCCATCTACACATTAAGGTTGTTCATCCCTGTAAGTTTAAGCAAAATCTGCCATCCGGTTAAAGAGGAGTTGCGTTCACAAAATTTCTACATAGTATCTAGTGAAAAAATCAACAAAGGGCCATAATTCTGTTAAATTTGGTCGCAGCAAAAATTCCTTCCTTTACTACCATCTACATATTTAGGTTGTTCATCCCTATAAGTTTAAGCAAAATCTGCCATCCGGTTTAAGAGGAGTTGCGTTCACAAGATTTCGGGACGTACGGACTGACGGACGGACTGACGGACAAGTGCAACGCTATATGCTCCCACATTGTGGGGGCATAAAAATAATGACAAAAATGAGTAGTTGCAAGAACCACAGGCACAATGCTCTAAGGTAAACCAGAGCAAATATAAATAAATGATAAAGGAATCAACATTTTATTATTTTATTGCACTAAACTGTCCAGTAGTGCAATAAAAACCTAAAATGTTGATTTCTTTATTGTTGACTTCCCTAAACTATATTCATTCCCCTTCAATGAAGAAACCTGATTTATAGGTAAATTGACAGACTTGTTAACAAGAAAGACAAAAGTCAAAGGGATAAGGATATTTTGATGCAAGGAGAAAGACCCAAAAGACAAACACTTCAAACATGCCAGACAACAGATTGCAAACCAATCTCATTCTAAAATTGGTAAATATTTTTTATTTGAGTGAATGCCAAAATTTGAACTGATTGGCAAAATAGAATAATATTCACAATGGGAAAGCAGAATACCTAATATCATTTTTACAACTTTAGACATTAATAAAACGTAAGAGTTAAATCATTTTTAGACAAGATACAATTATTCAAAATTATTGAGTAAAAAAATATTCAAAATTATTGAGTAAACAAGAGGGCCATGATGGCCCAAGATCGCTCCCCTGACCCATCAACCACATCTGAGCAATGTCTGCATCCTGACCTAGTTTGATGACAATGAAGTCAAAAATGTGAACTCTAGTGTGTTGACAAGGTTTTTTCCATATTTGGGCAGTGTGACCTAGCTTTTGACCCCAGGTAACCCATATTCAAAGTTGATATACAAATCATCAAAACAACCTTCCTGACACATTTCAAAAATATTTGGATCAAAACTGCAGCCACTAGAGTGTAAACAAGATTTTTCTATTCTTAGCTCCTGTGACCTAGTTTTTGACTGGAGATGACCCATATTCGAACTTGACCTAAAAATCATCAAAATAACTTCCAGGAAATTTGAATCAAAACTGCAGCCACTAGAGTGTTTAGAAGCTTTTTTCTCTTTCTAGCTTGTATGACCTAGTTACTGACTGGAGATGACCCGTATTCGACTTGACCTACAAATCATCAAAACAACCTTCCTGACACATTTCCAGAATATATGGATCAAAACTGCAGCCACTAAAGTGTTAACAAGATTTTTCTTTTTTTAGCTCCTGTGACCTAGTTTTTGACCAGAGATGACCCCAGGGCCGGCAAAATCTCAGAAAATTGTACTTGTCCACGGACAAGTAACTTACGAAATTTACTTGTCTGTACTGTAATGTTCATTTGTCCGTATTTATATTTGATATATACTGCAAATGTCAATAAGAAGAGCAATATGATTGTGAACTTTTTTCAAGTTTATTAAATATTCTGTGTCATTATACAAATGTTTAATAATATGTTATATTATGATTATAGTATATTTTATAATTTTAAAACATTAAAGGCAGTAGATTAAAGTAGAACGGCAGTGATTATTTTACTGCAAGGAGAATTGATCTTTTGCCAGCACTTTTAACGTTTTTCCTTACGTCACTTGCACCTAAATTGCTCTAAAAACGTGTCCTCATTTTTTGCACTCTGGTACCATTTCTTATTTATTCATTCCTAAGTCTATTTATCTATATAATATTCATTTAAATCCTGTTAAAAAAATCATATGTTCTCTTGAGTTAGATTTGTCAAATTGATGACATCTGGCTTTGTTTTAATGATATATGATTATCACAGAACGTAATATCATATACATATATACACTTGGTTGCAGCAGATGAATCGTGAAAATTTTGACATCAGTTATATAATCATCGGCGATGATGAAACTGACATGTGTACATTTACACCAGCATTAGACAGTCAAAACAAAGGCATTTTCACTAGAAATCTTTACATAAAATAAATCATAAAATGACTTTGTCGACATAAATTAAAGCAGTCAAATTGCCGATGTGATTCAACTAATTTTCAAATATTCCCAAATGACATGGAAAAGTTATATTCAATTTTCATACAACACGACAATTGTTGAAGATTGTGCAATACTTGTCACCATGCTGTGTCTGCTATCTAAACAATAAATGCGCTTGAAAAGACCACAGCTTCCAAGTCAATTTTATGGCAGAATCCCCGTTGCTACCAAAAATATTTTATTGCAGTGGCTAAATCAGCAGTCATAAACCAAAACAAACATGTACCCCACATAGTGACCTTGATACGTTCTATAATTAGTTAATTGCCGCACGCATGCAGTAACTGCATGACGTAAGGAAAACCCCAAGCCTGGTTGGTCACTATTTATGTAAACACTTTAAATAGTAACTCCCTAATATGCACGGAATGCCCTCATGAATGATCAATCTTTACGACATCCCACTATACATGCTAGTTTTCGAATTAAATGTGTGATTTTCCTTCTCATTTAGATCTAGTAGAAAAGAACTAGATTCTTTCTTCAGAATTCCTCTTTTAGCCGCCGAAATTAACTTGTCCACGGATCAAAACTGCAGCCACTAGACTGCTAACAAGCTTTTTCTTTTTTTAGCCCCTGTGACCTAGTTTTAGACCCGAGATGACCCATCTTCGAATTTGACTAGTTTTTGACCCTAAATAACCCATCTTTGACTCGATCTGTATTTCATTGAATAAAACATTCTGACAGAGTTTGATGATGATCCAATCAAAACTGTGACTGCTAGACTGTTAACAACCCAATTGTTGATGACGAACAACGCACAACGCCGAATGCCGGACATAGCACCATCACTACACCTCACCTAGACTACTTTGTGGTCAGGTGAGCTAAAAAGTAATTCAAAATTATTGAGTACAAAGTTGGAAATTTCTATTTATCTACTTGTGTGGATATTCCAAACCAGAACCTAGTAATCATCATTTGTTTCTTTTATGCAATTAAAACTATAAACATATTGGTCTGTATCTCTTTACATTTACATTAACATTTTGCATTAACAAGCTACCTCCTATCTAATTTTAATAGAAGATAACCTGTTCCTGCATTTATGTAACAATCTGCTTATAGTGCTCAATTTTGTCTTGTCTGGAGTGTTATTTTCAGAAACAAATTAGAGGAAAACAAACTTGAAATGAAAAATTCTTTTGTAGATTTCATTTTACATTGCTTCTTTAATGGACACTTACAAAAAACAAATGTTATTTTCATGCCACTTTTGACCATACATTTATATTAAGACATAAAACCTATAACCCTCCCGTCCTTCAATATCTATGTGACAAGAAAAATGAATACTTTTAAGCAAGCCATGTCAAATGCAAAACACTTATGTCCTTAAGGCTCAAGGTGTCATTAAATTTTTAATACAATCAAAAAGGTAAAGAAAAGAAAGCCTTATTTAAATTATTTCTTAATAAAAAGAGCACCCTCAAAAGCAAGCCTTTATGAGGAACTCGCTGCATTTTACCCAACATAGAGCAGGATAATAGCAAAGACAAAATAGAATGTCAAAGAAGTAGGTCAAGGTAACACAAGACTTCATGCACACCTAAAGCTGTTTCACTGTTAAATCTTTGCAAACCACCTCCCAAGTGAAGATTTCCAAAATTCCTCTCTTTTGACGGAGTAGCCGGCCCTGACACGGAGTTTCGCCGTTGAGGATATGATGCTGACGGCTTGCTTGGCATCGATTCAATTAAAGTCCGGACTTCTGGTGGAAGGCTGACTTTTTTCCGGCGCAGATGTAGGAAAAGCACCATGAAGATTATGATGGCTATTTCGATTGTAGTCCAGATCATCTGTCTATCCGTGACCTACAAAATAACATAAATTATTTCATAAATCTAAATTAAATTTACATTTCTTTTCAAATACATGCAATAATCTATGTTCATCTTTCATAAGTAATTTACATCTTTTTTTATTCATCAAAATTTTAGTATACATTATTTGTGTTACAACCATTTTTTTTTCAAATTTCCACTGTAAAAATGTGAATCAACCTTTAATACTTGTTTTTTAAAGAAATGCTTTCAAACTTTACTATTAAAAGTAGTTGCATGGTTCAGTGGTTAACGATAACATTAGTACATCAAGGATTGCTGGTCCCGTGGGTTCAAACCCAGACAAAGGCAAACCATTGTTTTCTTAAGCAAGAAACTTTACACTCATTGCTCATGACTAGTTGGTTCCGGTAACAGGTTTGAGAGTGTGTATGTAAGCTTATGGATTTCTACAAAATCAAACTCGAAATATTCTGTATAAACTAAACTTAACTATCTTTGCTCATTTGTAACTTTACAGAGAACATACCTGTCTGTTTAGTTTATCAAAACTGTGGGTCAGTTGATGTACAATCTCCGTCAGGTTCTCCAATCTACGTTCCATAGCAGTCATCTCATCCTCGTGTATTTTGTTCTAAAAATAAACACAAAATGCTTTACCTTACTTTACCTTAACCATAAACACAATGCTTTATCTTACTTTACCTTAACCATAAACACAATGCTTTACCTTACTTTACCTTAACCATAAACACAATGCTTTACCTTACTTTATCTCAACCATAAACACAATGCTTTACCTTACTTTACCTTAACCATAAACACAATGCTTTACCTTACTTTACCTGAACCATAAACACAATGTTTTACTTTACTTTACCTTAACCCTTTACCTGCTGTGCTGGTAGCAACTTTATATACCCGTGCAGACAATGATCAGCTCTGTCACCTGATCATGGTCCACACTGTACATTACTCAAGTCAGTTTAAGTTTTGAAATATTTTCACTTAAATTGATGAATGGTCCGTTATGACTGTAAGATGTATAAGTCCATTCAAGACAGTTAGTGTGGAAAAGTCAAATCCTTTTTATCTCCCATAAATTAGGAACTTCCCAAATTTTGTTTTTATTTTCCAAAAAATAGATATACTGTCTTTAACCTTACTTAAATTCACAAAAGATTAAAAATTTCAGTGATTTATAAGCTAAGCTAGTTATTTACCTTTACATCTGCTTCTACGGTCATATTATGCATAGCAGCCACGGTTTTGTTCAACATTTTCATCATATCTTCTGACTGCTTCTTGTACCGTCTGCTCAGCTCCTCTAAGAATCTGATAACAACATCAAAACTTAACTTCAAAGATTGATTCCTCTTTTTATTTATATTGACAATCATGCCATGTACATGTATATAAAAAGTCAAAGCTTGATCAACAATTTTACATGTATTTTAAAGTAAGTAATGGAATACTGGGTTTTATCACATACCCGTGGCACTTTTGCGACTCTTTACGACTTTTGCACGGCCATGCATATATTTTGATGTGACATTATTTGCGTTATATAAACATAGTGTAATGACGTGCAGCACGTCACGTGCTACATGTTACCATTACACTAAAGGCACGTTAATGAAAAATGATTCTTTTTCACTGTAAATAGTCTTTAATTTGGGTATGTGACAAAACAGAATATTATATTTGTTTAGGTTCATTACTGAATTTATTTAACGCGTTGAATCAACTAGTTAAATAAATTTTGATAACGAAATTACAGGAAGAAAAAAAGTAAAAAAAGTTATCAAAATTTTGAGCCATGTCACGACAAAACCAACATAGTGGGTTTGCGACCAGCATGGATCAGACCAGCCTGCGCATCCGTGCAGTCTGATCAGGATCCATTCTGTTCGCTTACCAACCTTATAACAAGTAGAGAAACTGATAGCGATAACTTACCGGCTACTAAGTGAGACATTTTGTTCCAACACTTTGATTCTATTGCTCAGTCTCATGATGGCCGACTCACGTTTACCGCTTGGTATAGCCGGCAATTTTACCAGGTTTAGATCGTCCCTTTTCTGTTGACCTCCGTTGCTAACGACAACCTGTAATATTCATTTATAAGGCATTTAGTTAAACATGTACTCTCACTCATTGATATCTTATACCTGTATGAAAGTGGGATATAAATTACTTCAAACTGTGCCATAGGCAAATTATTGCTGCTACAACTCAAAGGGTTAAAGCAAAAAACAAAAAAAAAACAAAAAAAACAAAATTAAATAATTAAAATAATAAAAAAACCCCCAAAATCCCACATAATTCAGAAAGTCATTTCTACCTTGTCATCAATTACTGTAGTATTGGCTTTTTGATCTTGTGTATCCTCTCCTAGTGCTTCTAGATCTTCTACAGTGTCGTCAACACTTGATGCTGTAACACTTGCGTCCCCAGTCTCTGTCGGCCTAACTGATTCACCATTCACTTGACTAGATGCCTTAGACTCTTTCAACTGTACTGTTACAGAAGATGGTTCCGGCTTTTTAAAAAAGATATATATAGCATAATAAATAAACAAAACTGTTTTCACCTGGTATTCCTTATCATTCTTTACATCTTAACAAGTAAGATTAATAATTTCTTGACTTCCTAATAAAAAAACCCAAACTATTCAAATGTATTTGATTTTGAGACAGAAAGCAGTATCGATTGTTTGTCTATCTAGAATATTTATCTTAAATGTAACTGTACAATTTAATACTGCATAATTCTATATACATGTTTAATCAATTATGGTATAATTGTATAAAACTCAACAGATAAATAAGAAACTTACATCTTTTATGTCTGTTTGAGTAATTGTACCATCAGATGTCTTCTGGTTCTCAGCTTTAGTTTCCCTTTGCATTAAATCTTTAGTGTCTGGTTTCCAGCTCTCTGGTAACACTGGAGTAGCTTCCCTTGTTGTTTCTGGAGTAGCCTCCACTTTTGTTTCAACTAATGTTGGACTGGGCTCTATTTTCTCCGACTCTGTTTGCTCTTTTTGTTCAGTTGCTGATGAAATTTGAGTACCAGTCTGTGTCACAGAATCATTATCAACAGTCTGTGTGGATGATAAAACATTTGTATCAGTTGCAATAATATCTTCTGCTGTTGTACTTGGCTGAATCTCTATTGTAGAAGTTGACAAAATAACTTTCGTTGTTCCATGCAAGTCAGATTTATCATTGTCCAAGCTGGATTTTTGCTCAAGTCTGGATTCCGATACCTTACTAGTTTGTACAGTACTAGATACAGAACTAGCAGACGCCTCAGTTACAGAATCACTAGCTGAAGTGACTACATCCTCTGACTTGGAATCGGAAACCTGCACAGGGATGGTACAGCTCGTCACTTGTCTATTTTTAGAAATTTCATCTGATATCGCAACTTTACTTGAATCTGCCTTTATCACTTTATCATCATTATTCTTGGACAAACTTATAGACGACTGTTGAACAGGACTTTGTCTTTTCAACATGTACACAAATGAGCAAAGTTTGGACTGAGTTATATTGATTTTTGTCTCCTCTGAAATAGCAAGTGTGTGCATGGCAAGAAAACAGTCATGTATATAGGAGTCTAGGGACTTGGTAGGGGATGCGTCTGGAGTTGTCTCCACTTGCTCATCATCTTCTAACTTCACCACAATCACACTGTCAGTTTTACCTAAAATTATCACAATATACATGTATATAAAACAATAATATTATCAAACACCAACATTTGTTTTTATTGTTAGTAATTTTTGAGTTAATATTGTTAAGAAGTGCAAGGTCTCAGGTGCCCACACTTGCATTATTTTAGGCAAAAAATCTTCAGAAATGAGTTATCTGCACATGAGTACTCTTCATAACAAAATCTCATTTCGTCTGGTTCCAGGCTCCCCCTTAAGTTTTAAATGGTGGAAGATTAAACAGGGGAACTAATCTGCATCATCTTTAAGTCTTTTTATACAAATATACCAGTTAAAACCAGGCACAAAACAATACTTTTATGTAACTATATGTATGTATGCTGATAAACTTAAATGAGCTATTCAATAAAATGGCTTAAACAAGAAGATACCTTAAAGCATTTTCATAATACTGCATGTATCTTGCTTTTCATTGGTTAATCATAATATTTATGTAGTTTTAAATGCACGGCCACTGTCAATTTACAAAGAAATCTCACATTTTTCTCTAAAAGATGTTTTCTGTATAATAAATCCCTTAAAGATATTTCTGACAGGTTATATGGCTGGATATATAAATGGTTGTTTTCAATATAACCTGAGCCTAGCATTTATATACAGCATATAATTTGTCAAAAATCTTTATAACTTATATTATGTTGTATTTATTATACTGACCAGGTTCCGGTGCCTGAGGTAACGTATGTTTTTGCTGATCTTCTGCTGTCCTATCTGTACAAGTCTCTTTCTTAGAACCATCACTATATGGAAAGAGAATGATATAACATGAAAAATAGTTCTGAAAATATTTTTTCATAACATTTCTTTCCATTTCCGTAAAATGCGAGTATGAAAGTAGGCAAAGCCTATGAACTTTCGTTCATTTTTTATCTAAATATTTCAATTTTGTTCACATTTTTTCATTTTAAAGGTGCCATTCGATTTTTTATGCAATGCTTACATATTCACTTGGAACACCTCCATGATAATTCTTAAGCCGAAAAGTTGCGATTGTTCCGTTATTAGAATACCAGTCGAATATCATTGAGTTACATTAAATATGGCTGCGCCCATCTACAAATGACATGAAAAACTTCACTAATAGGTATAGAAATTTAAATATATTTTTTTTTTCTTTTTTGGAGAATTAACTTACATTGTGACCTCAGGAACACAAGGGAGAGTACTCTGCTCAACTGTTGTGCTGGTTCCATTCATGGTTGTATTATCAGCATCACTGATTATATTCCCCTGGGTACCATCTGTGCCAGAAGAAAAAAATAAACAATTAAAAATATCACTATTTAGTTTTAAGGATTTACATATCATTTTATTGAAAAAAGGTTCAAACAATTAAAGGAGCTCAAAAGCTTAAAAAAATAAAATTTGATTTTTTACCTAGATCAAGTGAAGCATTTATCATGGAAAATTACTGCAAAGGATATTAAGGAAATACTCTCAGGATTGAAAATCTATAATAAGTGCTGTTCTTAGCCCAATTTGAGTAAAAAGCATTGCAATGCTTCTCATTTTCAGTCATTTTGCACACTAAAAATGACTTTTCAAGGAAGGATTTGCAAATAAGTTATTGGTTCAGACCTACATCAAATGGTTTACAAAGCTCCCAAAAAATATATTTCCATTCCTGTCATGTCAAAAAACCTCAGTGTAGTCTCTTTTCTTCTTTATTTCTAAATATCAGAAAAATCGTTCACCACTGATACACTTTTTCTAAGACATATGCAAGTGTCTTTACAAAACGGAGATTTGTTTTGGATGTATGCTTCCTTGATTTGTATAAGGGACATAGAAAACTTTTCAAGAGAAACAAATTCCGTTGTCAGAGTCATAAGGGTTTTTAAATAAAGTGAATGTAGATTTTTTTTATGGTTTACTTACTTTTAATATTCAACTGTTCTTCCTCGGAATCAACATTCAGTACCTTCTTCACAATATTTATCACAGTATCTGGAATAATAAAATTTAATATGTTCTAATACTTTCTTACATGAAAACATTTACAAGATTCATTAATAGTTTTCATTGTACTATAAACATTATGCTATTATTTTCTTCATTTCATTTTTTTTTTATTTTTATTACTGCAAAATCATTTTATTCATGGGGAACTAATTTTCGTGGTTTTCGTGAAAAGGTCAATCCATGAATTTAAGATCCAACAAAATTTCATTTTGTCTGCTGTAGGATTATTTTGCATCACATTGTTTACATTTTACCTTTTGGAAAAATAAAACAGTCCATGATTTTAAGTACCAACGAAAATGTTCTTTGGCACAAAACCACAAAATTGTATGTGCACAAAATTAAGTGAATTCACTTTACATTTTTTTTTCAACACTCCTTGGAAGAATTACTTATGAATTATGAAGCCATTTATAAGAATCTTAAAGCTCATAGGGCTAAAGACAACCCCCATATGCACCCCACAACTTCCCCGACCTTTCAGGTTAAATTTGAAATCTACATGTAGCTCAACCTCATGTGTTTCTTGAACCCTAGTCAATGTGCACTGAAGAACTAAACCATACTCATTATTATGTCACAGATACAATTGGTGATTTTTAGAAGTAAACCACCTTTGGCACTGGTAAAAAGGTTCTTTGATCCAGTCTCAGTTTCGCTTTCATTTGTATCTTCGTTATCACTGTCGTCATCGTCATCATCTGCATTCATATCATGATGATCATCTTCGTAGTCAACTACAGCAATGCCTAATACTCTGTCAATGAAAAATAAATTACAGTAACATATTACATTGTAAAATCTTGTACAAACAGTTATCATGAGCAATTACATCTTTAGTGTTGTCAAGATAACCTTCGTGACCAAAATCACTGTCAACAAAATCATCACTCAAGTCAACATCATCATCATCATAATCATCATCACTATCACCACAGCCAAAAACATAATCATTGTCATTGCTATCATCACCATTGCCATCATTATCAACAATAATATGATCATTTTCACAATCATCATCATCAAAATCATTTCAAAAGTCAAGTACACAAACTATGTAAGGAACAAATATTTTAAAGAAAATGTTTTCCGAACACTGCTTAACAATATTTTTTCACTTCTCAGACACTGAAGAAACAGTCCAGACAAAAAATAGTTACTATAGTATATTTATGTGGATGACCAAAACATTAGCATGGAACATTACATTATCAAATTATTTTGCTATGTCTGCATTGAGCATTGAGTTGAAACAGTAAACATAATAACTTCAATGTGATGAGAAGCAAAAACATTTACCGTAAACACTACATTTTTTTTTCAACAGTGGGTCAAAGTTTTTAAGTTCAATGCAAACTTGACAGCATATTACAAAATATTTGGAATACATAGATTATACACAGTTCGAATACACATATAAAATGCCTTAAAATATTGTATGCCTTAAATATTGTATGTCCTAAAAATAACATTTGCTCACCTGAATATAGTAAGAGGGCAGAAATGTTCATTCCCATAATGCTGTGTCAGCTCCACACGTACAAACTTGGCAAAATAATCTTCAGCATTAGTCAGCGTAAATGTCTGAATAGAACGTTCTTCTTTTGTTGTAAACTCTCCAACAAGTTTCCAGTCTTTTGTAGGGTATCTGCAAAATTTACGAAAAATATAATTACTGCAGTACACAATGATACCATTCTATTTAACATCTAACATAAAAGTTGGAACAAAAAGGTTTATATAAGATATCTATAATATAATCTCTGCAGAGCAACTCCCTTTGGGACGAAGATTTTGGTTGCTTATGAGAGGTGTTGCTCTAAGAAGGTTAAATTCATTGTAATGTTTACTTTGTGAAGAAATATAACTATTGTTTTAAAAAGGTAATTGCTGTGTAGAGGGCAAATATTCAGAGGTTATACTGTAAAAGTAAAGGAGTATTGTAACCCGTCACTAAGATATAGTTTGAACATCACAGAAAATTCCAAAGACCGCAGTACCAGAGGGCACCACCCTATTTAATGTCTAGCCTTAAAAGCTTAAACTAAAGGGTTATGTAATATATCTATAAGTAAATGAGTAGCGTTACCTGTCACTGAGGTATAGTTTGAACATCTTTGGCTGCGATGAGAAGAGCTCTAGGCTTGCTATATCTACAGAATGTGCTTGTATTGGCTCACACAGCTCTATTACAAACCTAGACATAAAACAAATAATACCAAATCACATTTTACATTACTAATTTTTGTGAGGTATTACTTTATAAAGAAACTAAAGGGTAATCAAATCCAATAAATTGCATGAAATAATTTTACTTAGTGACAGCTTCATTAAGAAATTGATTAAAAATATGATTATAACAATGTCTTTAAGTAGATAATCCATAATAAATATATCACAGTGCCTTGATGGTCATCTTACAGAATTTCTTTTATGGACATGTCCTCCAGCTTCTTCCTTTTTTTTGGTCGGATTTTACTTTGCATCACACAGTATAGGTCATATGGCGACTTTCCAGCTCTACTGGTGAAAGAGACCTCAGGTGCCCCTCCATACATTATTTCAGGAACAAACAGGCACCTGAGTAGAACCAATGACATTCCATAGGCTAGCTTGAAAGCTTCCTCACATGAAAAAAAACAAAAGTCTCTATCAGGTTTCCAACCCACAGAAGTGAGGGGCAAGTCGATTGTAGTCAATAACCTTAACCAGTCAGCCACTGTTACCCTTTTTGACATTCAGGTTTATCAATTTTACAATGAAATTTTGGAAATAAGCCAGACTTCTAGAATAGAGTTTAGTTAGACTAGAAGACAGTTGGACAGACTTTATACTGGTGGAAAAGGCCTTTTAATTTCAATTTCAGTATAGTAAGGGTGAAACACTAACCATCTTTTAGCTTTACAAGGGTTGTTCATGTATTCGTCCCTGTTTGAATTGAGAACTGATCTAGGACTGGAAGCCTCTGGATTACTGGCAAGTATTTTGGCACCACATTCTTGCGAGGCATAGTTCTTCTTCTTTCTCAGTTTAACAGGGGGTAGCTGCAAGTTCTGATTGATTTCTTTGGCTGAAAGTATATTTTGAACAAGTTTTTTTACAACTAAGAAAAATATTTTACGTAAGTTTAAAGTTAACAAAAGTCATTAACAAAGAGAATATGGTCAGCATGCAAGCTTATGATAATTACATCCTATTAAAATGATTCAAAAACAGCCTTAATTTATTTAATTGTTTTTTGGTCCTTCTTGATCATTGAGGTAAGTGATTTGAAGTCAGGGACCTTAACCATTCATCCACATCCCATACGTCCGCCCTGAATTATTAATGTACTTAAGAAGTACCATGAAACAATACCTTCAAGTTTCCCTTTCTCAGCTTCGGCAAGGACCTTCAGCGTCCATTCATTAAATGTAAGCCCTTCCTCTTCCTGTTTTTCTTCAGTCTCAACTTCAGCTGGTTCCCCTTCTTTTTTCTGTTCCACTGCTGGTACCCCTCCTGATGATTCCACTGCTGATTCATCTTCAAATGATTGTGAGGTTGACTGGTATTGAGAATCTGTCAAACTTTCCTGACTGGTTTCCTCTTTTTCCTACAATGAGCGACCAAACTAGATTAAAACTTTTTGCAAAACTATTGCACCATTTCTTTGTTTAACTTTCCCTGCATTCTGACAAGACTCTAGAGCTGTCAGTGATTTAAGTGATATCAATGTATTGCTGATATTATTCTGTCAGGCAATAATCAATACCAATTTTAGAAAATCAATAATTTTGGCATAATAACTGAATGTCTAGAAATTATGAAAATTCACCCTAAACATATGCAGAAGCATATTTCATAGCAGTGATGACAAAAAAATGGTCAGCAAAAATCATACAATTGGCATTTATAAACATGACACGTGCAAGAACAGAACATGCTTTTTTACTGAAAGCATTTAAACAGGTATGAAAAAGAATAACAGTAATTAATACTTAAAGTAAGTAATTATCAATATATCTGTCACAGTATCATAAATTTTTGTCATCTGATATCAATATGTTTTTGCTTTGTACTGAATCAATGAAATCTCTACCATACTCTATATAGCCAACTGCCTGCTCAGTTTTGATAAAGTGATCTGAAATCCCTTGTATAAATTACGGACTCTTCCAAATTCAAAGCGGGGCAAGTCCATTATGCAAATTTGGGGAAGGGTCAACCATATTCCCGTATAAAATAATTTACAGGGGTTTTCCCGATCATTCCCATGGTGCACTGTCTGAATTAGTTCACAGTGGCTGTTTATAGCATTATTTTATGACCTAATTACTGTTTTATTGTCTTATTAACAACATATGTTACATTCCCAATAACATAAATTATGTTTCTATAGCAAACCAGATAAGGATAATTCAAACTTATGTTCACGAAACAATTTAAAATTACTGTTTAATAACAAAAAACTGACAAAACAATAAACTCAAAACAAATTTCACCATTGTTTACATACAATATATATTATATTGTAATATAAACAAGTTCAAATAAGAAATATTTCTGATAAAACAAAACCTATTTTTTTTACCTTAAACTGTGTGATATTTTGGCTTGGTTCTTTGTCTTTCTCAGATTCCTCTGTGACCTTGACATTTTCTGTGACCTTGGCCTCCTCTGTGTCCTTGACCTCTGTTTCTGTGACCTTTACAGATTCTTTGACCTTTTGAAAGTCTTCTGTTCCCACATTTTCAGATTGCTCGACAGGATCGTTTGTAGGTACTACTGAGTCCTCAGTACTGAAACAAAGAGATAATGTTCTTTTATAATTTAAACAAAAATTACCATCCCTTAAACAGAACTTTGCTAAGAGGAAGCACTTCAAATGTATTGTTTTATCTTGACATAACTTATAGATTTAGAAAAAGGACATGGCTTCATGTTAAACCAAAAAGTTTATTTTCACAGTATTGCCTCTGTTTTATCTAATACTCAGGGCAAGGAAAAGAAAAACACTCTATGTGCATGTAATTTTTTCCCCCAGCATTAAACTTAACTTAAACTGAAAAAAATCTTCATTTTAATTTTATTTATCAATGCACCTAATCTACCTTTAAAATTAGTTAAAACAACTTTTTTTAAACAATAATTACAATAAAAACAAACTTTTAAAAATTAGTTCCAATAATTTACTTTCAGCTAAATTCATTAATTTGGCTGGTCATCTTGAGGTTGATGTCATAAAACAAATCATTTGAAATGGATGTGATTTTTTTTATGAAGTGAATAAGTCATGTAAGTTCAGCACATAACTTTAAATAATACCAGTAATGAATTTGGTTTCAACATTTTTTTCCTTCAATGTTAACTATCCAGATATCCCTAATCAGTGGCTGAAATTTGAGTATGATTGAATACAAGCTGCCAACACTTTATTAAAATCACTAACTTCATGTTCATTGACCTCAATTAAAATACTATAACCTTTCAACATCTCAATTTGGTGTAATGGATATGTCCTACTGTGAAATCAGAGTAGTCCATTTACAGTTTTAGGGATATCAATATCCAAAAATACTAAAATATTGTGCAGACGACAGTTTTCAGTATGGCCAGGTAAAGGAAAGGTAAGTAATTCCTGCTAACTAGTAGTGTAAGAGTTAATTCCCTGATTTCCTTATTACAGCCATTTTAGTAATAGCTGGCATAGGGCTAAGTTTAAAGCCAGTTCTGCATCAGCTTCTTTGCTATTTTACTAGTTTATTTACCATCAGTATATCATTAAAAGGTATTCTGATCTGTGCCTTTTGTCAAATATCTATACTACCAGCACATGTACTTCAATCTTATGACCCAAGAAAATATGAAATGTCCGAAAATCAAGGCACCCATTAAACTTGTTTCCTGGTGCTATCAGCATATGAACTTCAGCAATCCAATCTTAAAACTGATTGTCTCAAAATCAAAGCAGGACAAGCCAAGTATACAAAGTCAGTAAGATAAATATGTTATGAAAGTGATAACACCAATTGTCAGTGTGACAAAAGACTAGGATGGTCTTTGCAGGCATATGGTAACCATGCTCATAGTTTCTAAACAAAGGTCATACATTTATGATATGATAGGAGAGTACAGGTCAATCAATGATGTATTATAGTCATATAAGGACAAGTTATAATTATGTGTTAATTATCAAAAATATATAAAATCAGTTAGAAAAAAAACCTTTTCTTCGCTTTTTAACCTCTTTTTATGCCTCTTTACTTGACAGTAACAGTCAATGAATTTAAGATTTTGAATTTACTGGCCTGAATTTACTCTTCTATATATTTAACTAAATGTTCTTAAAATTTACTAATTATTTACTTAATTTTCACTGGCCATGGGCCACCGGGCCAGTGCTAAATTCGATGACTGCACTAATATTTTATACAGTTTTATCTCAATATAGAAGTATTTGTGTGTACTTTCAAAGTTAGAAAGATTTGTATATCTGAAAATCTTATGCATTGTATTAGGATACCAAATACATGTAGAAACAAAATGTTTGTTCTTAGTTTAATCACACAGGCAGCATTAAAACAAAGCAAGTGCTCTTAAATATTATAAAATTGCAATAATTCACCCGTTCTCCACAAGTTATAAACACCTTCTCCACATGGATAACATGAAACATTGATGTATAATAAAACATCATTGACATAACATTTCCAGCAACATTTTTGGCAAGAGTGGTAGGAATTTGAAGTTGGTAAAAGTCACTCTCCACCCAACAAGCAAAGAAGGTAAACTTGGATTGAAAGGAATACTTTGAGTTAACATACCATTAACAATAAAAAAAATCATAACAAAAAATATTTTCTGTTAAGTCTTAAACACTTAAAACAAACAATCACTCTTAATTCTGTTAATTGATGGTCACATTGTTTTTTAGCTTATTAAAAAGGAACAAATAACAGATCCAAATTGGTCAGTGAGATGATCATGACCCCCACCAACTCCTGGTGACCCATCCCCTGGGAATTGACTGATTATACATAAAATATAATATTACATCAAAGTTAGTTATTAACTCACATTATTTAAAGTAAAAAATCATGCAAAAAGTTGACTCATGAATCCCCCCCCCCCACAAACCCATGGAAAAGAATTGCCTCGTGTTGAATTTTGGGACCCTTCTGGTAAAATATCCAGGATCTGTGCCCCTGAATAATAACATAAAAGTTAATTGGAAGTGGTCCATATCCTCAAAAAGCATAATGTATGAAATTGAAATAAATTTCCAGCTTCAATTCTAACAGTCATTAAGAAATTATTATCAAAAATAAAGTCAGGTAAAAATGTCACACACTATTAAAATCACAAGTACCTTGGTAATATTCTGTGGGCAAAATAGGGTTAACCACATTTGTATAAAATTAATAAAGTTATAGATAAATATACATAAACACATCAATCATTAAACCAAAACCAATGATAAAATTTATAATTTTAATGATTTGTAAATGTTAAGTAAACACTGTGCCAAAATTTTTCATATTTTTTACATAAAAGCTCTTAAAACATGATGACAACATGAGAAATTGGGTCAAGGTGATTTTTTTAAAGGTCATATCCAAAGTATGTTTTGAAGTTAGGTTATATTTTAGTCATTAATGCACCTATTAGATTAGAGCTTGACAAAACTGAGGTTACCCATTCGGATGAGGTGGAGGTGACATGTTGTTAGGGTTATGTATACCTTGAGTTATTTTTAGCAACAGTATCAGTTGCCGTTGAAAAAGACACACTTCCTATCCACATTACAGCATGGTCCCTGAATACATGTACATGTTATATGTGTAAAATTGACATTTATGGCTGAATTGGCTAAACTTCCTTGAATACATGTTATACACTGTATGTGTAAAATTGACATTTATCACTGAAATTGGCTAAACTTCAATAAAATGACTGTTATTTTGACATTTATGGCTGAAATTGGCTAAACTTCCTTGAATACATGTTATATGTGTAAAATTGACATTTATCGCTCAATTTGCTAAACTTCCTTGAATACATGTTATATGTGTAAAATTGAAAATTATGGCTCAATTGGCTAAACTTCCTTGAATAAATGTTATATGTGTAAAATTGAAATTTATGGCTCAATTGGCTAAACTTCCTTGAATACATGTTATATGTGCAAAATTGAAATTTATGGCTCAATTGGCTAAACTTTCCTGAATACATGTACATGTTATATGTGTAAAATTGACATCTATGGCTCAAATATCTAAAAATCCTCAGTTATGTCCAAAAAAATTAATGCACAAATCTCATATCTAAGAAATATATAAATGTACATTATATAAACATCATATACATGTATGTTTTTCAAGGAGTTTTAAGTTGACCTTAAGGACATGTGAAGATTACAGAGACACAGAATGCACAGTGTTGTCAAATAAGTAAACAATAGCACCCAAATTAGATCCGCTGACCTTTACATATTCAAGGGTGAAAGTTAGATGATCAAAAAATTCCTTCAATGTACCAATTTTTTATGGTTTGAGGTAGTTTTAAAATTATAGCTTTTTGTACTCATAAAAATCAATAGGCCTTAGGAAAGCGAGCAGGATAGCTTCGCAACATAAATCAACTCAACATAACTTGTGAGATTTTAACCTATTTATGTGAAGTACAAGTGATTCAGAATCTCAAGACCTAACCAACAGACGTCTTAATGTACAGGTACATAATTGTAGCATAAATTAAAAATGTGTATATTAAATAGTACATCACACCTGAATCTGTGTAGTGAAAATGTAAAAGAAAAATAGCTTAAAACTGCTAAACCGCCTGTCAAAAATCTTTGAAACTAATAATATACAAATAACCAAAAAAGATTACAATGTTGAAAGGTTCATATTCTAATATCTAAACATTTTAATTCAATGCATTATATATCTCTTTACCTCTTTCCATTTTCTGTATCAGTCTCAACTTCTGAATGAGCATCCTGTAACACCACTTCTGATTGGACGACAGAGGCTGACTGTGTCGCAGATTCTGTCAAATGCTGTTCTGTTTGACTGGTCCCTTGAATATCAGTAAAACTTGGTTCTACATGTGTTGATGAAAATGTTCTGAAAACAGGACAAATGTAATTGATTATCACATAATCTGGTGGAACTGTGACCAGTATAGAGCCACTGGCTAACCTGTATATTAAGGTTGTCATACTGTAATGTTTTCCCGCGCAAAAAAATCTTACATCGCTCAATATCATAATTAATCGGTCATTTCCAGAACGTTATTATTCACGATCTTCGGTATTTAATAATTTTCTATCGTTCATAACCAGACTTTAGTACATAACAATCAAGTATTAGTGATTGTAAAAATCTAATGCCCAAGATTTTGGAAAAAAAATACCTTTCCGGAAATAACTAAAGTGCTACCATACTGGTCGATGTTAGATTTATAGTGGCGGGAAAGCATTAAAGTAAGACTACCTTAATAAAGTTTGACCAGCCTCTATTCTGTTGGAAGCTTAATCTTTAATTTTCATACTGAAATCCCTTAAACTATTAATAGACTGTTCATACTTCAAAGCAAGCCAAATCCATTAAGCATTTCACAAACTAAGCAGGTCAGGGTTATATAAGGGTTATAAAAGCATACTGAAAAGGCCATATCAAAACTTTACATTGCATTTGTTAGAGGAAGATCTCCAGCTACTTCTACAGTCTACTATTAGTATTACAGGCACAAAGGGGCACCAAAGTTGAGCCAGCTAGCTATATAGCTTCCTCATATGATCGAAGCAAGAATCCCTGGCTGCAGGGACTGATACTGAAGTAATTTTGAATCTGCAACTAAATTCACCACTCAAGCAGGAAGGTCCCTTTTATTGCAACAACTCCTGCTGTAGCTAGATATTACCATAATGTATAATGTGACAAAATAAGCCAAGAAAACTTGAAAAAGGCAAAGTCATTGCTTGATCAGCAAATGTAAAATGACGTCACTCATTAACTTTACATTGAGGTGATATTATCAGAATGTTTTCTATCAAATTTGTCGCTAATGTATGTTATGTAAGGAAATATGTCAAGGCTATATTACCTTGAAAACAACAAAACCTTTTGTTAAAAATATATTTTTGGCATTTCCCATGTTAAATCTTCAATCCCATGTTAACAGTGACATAACAGTAATTTTGTTGTTTGTAATACCTGTCATAGTGTAGTGTATATTACTTTTACATGTAAAAACAACTAAATTTATACAAACCTAATGATGGATTCCTTACCTTAAAACATCTCATATTTCAATTACAAGGTCAGATGGTGAAAGTGATAAACCTTTATTTCCCTGAAGACTGCCTTATAAAACTTTAATTACTATACAACTTTATTGATTGATTGATTTGTTAATTGACTTTTTAGTTGTTTATGGTCAAAGAATGTATTGTTCATAGTAAATGAACATTTAACATTCTTTACTTCTCTAGAAATGTACAATGTTGGTAAAAAAACAGCCCAAAAAAAACACACACACTCAATACAGAGTACTAGACAACCATTTGTAATGACTGCTAGAATTGTTGGTTGTAACAGAATGAAATGAAAGAGAGCAATACATATTTTGCTACATTGTTTATAAACTGCATTCTTTTGTTTTTAGTGGAAGGACTGTATCTAGTAAGACATACACTAATCTTGATCATGAAGCAGGCCAAATAGTGTTAATATAAGCTTCAAGCTTCCATCACAATAAAGCTAAAGTATGTTTAAACTAGAACAATGCCAGGCATAAAGCTCAGCTTTAGCAATTCAAGACATAAGCTCAATTTCAGCAATTCTTAAAGAAGAGCAATCTTAGATGTAAGCTCAACTTAAGCATTCAGTTTTTATGACATACTAGATAAATGTCTTGGAAAAAAATGACAAATTATCAAATATTCTGTAAATAGGTATTTCAATTACCCTTAACCTACCCCTCTATAATGCTGCTTGTCTCTGATTGGTCTGCTGGTAGACTAGTTCCTAGACTTGATGATGGAGTGAATGTTTCTGTTGCTTGAACATTAGACACAGTCTCTTTTCCCTAAAATCAATAATAAACTAGAACTGCCAATATCATGGCGTGAATACCCCCGCATACCACTTTGTCAGAATCAACAGTGGCCATTTAGAGCTCAAGAACAACCTCCCTGCCAAATCTGAGGTCACTAAGCCAGTGCATTGCTAAGTTATGTATTCTACATGTTTCAAATGTGAAAATGTCAAAATCAATACATTGCGGACAGGACATTCTTTAGCAAATGAGAAAAAAAGCTTTTTTTGTCAAGGTCCCTGTGACCTTGACCTTTGACCCAGTGACCTCAAAATCAATAGGGGTCACCTTATAGTCATGATCAACATCCATACCAAATATGAATACTGTGGGTCAAAGGAATCTTAAGTTAATGGGTAGACAAACTTTTTGAAGTCAAAGTCCCTATGACCTTGACCTTTGATCCAGTGACCTCAAAATCAAAAGGGGTCATCTACTAATCATGATCAACATCCATGCCAAATATGAAGACTGTGGGTCAAAGGAATCTTAAGTTATTTGGCAGACAAGCTTTTTGAAGTCAAGGCCCCTGTGACCTTGACCTTTGACCTGGTGACCTCAAAATCAATAGGGGTAATCTACTAATCATGACTAACCTCCATGCCAAATATGAAGACTAAGGGTCAAAGGAATCTTAAGTTATTGGGCGGACAAGCTTTTTGAAGTCAAGGCCCCTGTGACCTTGACCTTTGACCTAGTGACCTCAAAATGAATAGGGGTCATCTACTAATCATGACTAACCTCCATGCCAAATATGAAGACTAAGGGTCAAAGGAATCTTAAGTTATTGGGCGGACAAGCTTTTTGAAGTCAAGGCCCCTGTGACCTTGACCTTTGACCTAGTGACCTCAAAATCAATAGGGGTCATCTACTAATCATGACTAACCTCCATGCCAAATATGAAGACTAAGGGTCAAAGGAATCTTAAGTTATTGGGCGGACAAGCTTTTTGAAGTCAAGGCCCCTGTGACCTTGACCTTTGACCCAGTGACCTCAAAATCAATAGGGGTCATCTACTAATCATGACTAACCTCCATGCCAAATATGAAGACTAAGGGTCAAAGGAATCTTAAGTTATTGGGTGGACAAGCTTTTTGAAGTCAAGGCCCCTGTGACCTTGACCTTTGACCTAGTGACCTCAAAATCAATAGGGGTCATCTACTAATCATGACTAACCTCCATGCCAAATATGAAGACTAAGGGTCAAAGGAATCTTAAGTTATTGGGCGGACAAGCTTTTTGAAGTCAAGGCCCCTGTGACCTTGACCTTTGACCTAGTGACCTCAAAATCAATAGGGGTCATCTACTAATCATGACTAACCTCCATGCCAAATATGAAGACTAAGGGTCAAAGGAATCTTAAGTTATTGGGCGGACAAGAAAAAACCGACGGACGGACGGACGGACGGACAGCCGGACGGACGGACAATCTGATTCCAGTATACCCCCCTTACAACTTTGTTGTGCGGGGGTATAAAGATAAGTTTGAATATGAAACACATATAATTTGTAAAGAAATTTAACATCCTTGCAAAAGACGGATAATGAAGTTTTGTTTCTTTTGTGCATTCAATCTGCAGAAGCTTAAAGGAAGCATTTAATCATTAATAATTAAGTCTGAGAGCTTCTGCATATGTTAATGCATGAAAAAGGTGCATTTGCATTAATTTTGCATAAAAGTAAATAATAGTCTGATTCAGTAATTTCTGGATTTTGCACTTTGTTTTTGGTATATAAACAAGAGGATGCTTTTGTAAAAAAGCGCATGTCTCCCCCACTGCTGAAAATAACTGTGAATGGAAACAGGAATGGAAATGGAGATAAGATAATGTAAATACCCGGTAGTCACTTCAATGAAGGCTGTCTATGGATGGTTTCTATTGTTAAGGTTGTATGAGAAGATGCTTCCTAAACTGTTTGTTTTTAACCAGGTATTCAATTTTGAAAATCCTGGTTATTCAATCAGCGTATGGCAGGCGGGCGTCAAACGAAATTGCTCAATAAGACCAATCATCCTATGAAGTTTGAGGGTTGTAGGTCTAAAGGAACTCTAGTTATCATCCGGAAAGGAGAAATTAACCAACGGTCGCTGTGACCTTGAACTTTGACCTACTGACCATTAAAACAATAGGGATCATTTGATTAATAAGACCAATCATCCTATGAAGTTTGAGGTCTGTAGGTCTAAAGGAACTCTAGTTATCATCCGGAAACGAGAAATTGACCAACGGTCAGTGTGACCTTGACCTTTGACCTACTGACCCCAAAAACAATAGGGATCATCAGCTCTATAAGACCAATCATCCTATGAAGTTTGAGGGCTGTAGGTCAAAAGGAACTCTAGTTATCATCCGGAAACGAGAAATTGACCAACGGTCACTGTGACCTTGACCTTTGAACTACTGACCCCAAAAACAATAGGGATCATCTGCTCAATAAGACCATTCATCCTATGAAGTTTGAGAGCTGTAGGTCAAAAGGAACTCTAGTTATCGTCCGGAAACAAAGAATGGACGGACGGACTGACGGACGGACGGACTGGGCAAAAACAATATGTCTCCCCCCAGTTTGAGGGTTGTAGGTCAAAAGGAACTCTAGTTATCATCCGGAAATGAGAAATTGACCAACGGTCACTGTGACCTTGACCTTTGACCTACTGACCCCAAAAACAATAGGGATCATCTGCTCTATAAGACCAATCATCCTATGAAGTTTGAGGGCTGTAGGTCAAAAGGAACTCTAGTTATCATCCGGAAACGAGAAATTGACCAACGGTCACTGTGTGACCTTGACCTTTGAACTACTACTGACCCCAAAAACAATAGGGATCATCTGCTCAATAAGACCAATCATCCTATGAAGTTTGAGGTCTGTAGGTCTAAAAGGAACTCTAGTTATCATCCGGAAACGAGAAATTGACCAACGGTCAGTGTGACCTTGACCTTTGACCTACTGACCCCAAAAACAATAGGGATCATCAGCTCTATAAGACCAATCATCCTATGAAGTTTGAGGGCTGTAGGTCAAAAGGAACTCTAGTTATCATCCGGAAACGAGAAATTGACCAACGGTCACTGTGACCTTGACCTTTGAACTACTGACCCCAAAAACAATAGGGATCATCTGCTCAATAAGACCATTCATCCTATGAAGTTTGAGAGCTGTAGGTCAAAAGGAACTCTAGTTATCGTCCGGAAACGAAGAATGGACGGACGGACTGACGGACGGACGGACTGACGGACGGACAGGGCAAAAACAATATGTCTCCCCCCGAGGTGGGGGAGACATAATAAACTAGTTTCATGATGTTTTTAAGGAGACTGTGATGTTGTCAGACAGTTATTTTTTGATGTTGAAATAACCAGGTCTGTTATTGCAGTGACATGCAGTCAGCTATTATTACATGGCACCCTGAGTCACACATATTAAAACAATGGCGTGTGCTCCTGCAATTTTATCCATTAATGCATGTTTTCTTCTCTGTTAACTTACATGAGAATAGCAGATTCTCTGCAAGAATTTGTGATATGATTTTTTCATCCACCTGTCATGAAAAGCTATGTTACAAATTGTATTATATTATTGTTATTCATGGCATGCTATACACAATTATTGTGTATCTGTGGCAAGGTATTAAGTTTTCTCCAGACCTGTGTATCTTAATTAAAAACTGTTGAAAGAATATCATCTCCATCTTTCAGGGTTTTCATTATTAACAGATGGTGATCCATATCATTGGTTGAAATGCTGTTAAAATTGTTGTTTTTTTCTCAGTCTGTAGATTAAAATATCTACCTTGACCCTTGGCCAAATTGGTTGTTTTCATTGGCATATCTGTTGCTCAAGATAAAAATGAAAATACTGTTTTCGATCACAGTGCTGATTACTAGGCATTATGTGAAACACTTTCGGCCACCGATTTTGTTCAAACCTTGAATTTAGCACTTTTATAACATTGTCAATTTTCAGCCAATTGCATAGATTTGTGTTTTAAAGCAAATGCGACCAGTGGAGATCCTGGTCCGACTGTATGAATAATTTTAATTTTTGAATATACAGGCTGATCTGGATCTGCACTGGTCGCATACGCATTAAAACACATATCTATGGGGTAAAGGGTGACAAACATTTCCTTCTGCAATTTTGGATGTCTTTACCATGACCAAAATCCAATTCACGCTGCCTAAAATCCAATTATCTAAGGTAATGTAACTGCAAAGTTCAGACTTTTTTCCTCATGTAACAGCAGGATAAGTTAATTGTGCAAGTTAACCTTTCTGTCAATATGTTTCAGTTTTCCACAAAAGTAAATTGATATAAAACCCTTCTATAGTTAGAATAAGGATTAAAGGGCATCACACCAAGTTAAAGCAGCATACCTCCAGATTTATGCTTATTTTCATGAAAATTTTGTAAATGTTATAAAAAGTAAAAGCATTGTAATGTGAACAAAAAAAACAAAACATTTTTGCCCATTCTATAGAAGGAAAATTTCATTTGTTTCTGAGGCATAATGTGCCTTTAATGGCTGCAGGAGTCTCACTTCTTAATAAAAATGTTTAAACTTTTGAAATAGCTACAAAATAATTTTGGCTTAAAATTTTCATGTTTCCTTTAAACAATATTGTATAAATATCTCCCTCGATTTAGGACACAATACCATAAGGGTTGGATCATGTTTTTTCATTCTGCTTCCATACATAAAACCTGATCATCTTATCTCTTTTTAATCTTTTACATCAATTAAAACCCCTGCAGTGATCTACATTATTATCTATTTCAAAATTTCAGCTAATTAATGCAAAAGTGAAAGGAGCATTTAAATCCTAAGTGCTTATTGGGATTGGTTATTTTGGTTTGATATATAACCACAAAATCTGCAGAAATATTATAATCTCCTACTGAATTTAAAGCTACATGCCTTCAGGTGAGTCAAAATATTTCTTGAAGAAAAATGTACTAAGATTTTAAGTAAAGTAAAAGTATTAAAGGTTAAAGTGATGATTTATATCTTGTGTGCAATTAAAGACTGATTTTTGCAGTATTTATCACCATATTTCTACTGCGTCACTAATGCAGTAGGGGCTATTTTTGCATATTTTGTCCTCTTTTTGGTAATTTATGTGAATGTAAAGTGCTGATTGCAATGTGTCAATTACTTTCTTTGTTCACTTTACAATATTTTACTTTGAAATGCATTTTCAAAATTTTCATGAAAATTTGGATGAATGTGAAAGCATGCTGCTTTAACATTTAGTGCCTTTTTTACCTGTAGGGACGACTGGGTCTGTTCAATCTTGGTATGTTCAGGTATATCTGAAGGAATGTCAACATTGGTCACCTGAAATAAATAGAATAATAATTCTATGAAGGAATGTCAATATTGGTCACCTGAAATAAATGGAATAATTATTCTATAACACAGGCAAAACATAATCTTTTACTATTTCAGCTTTGTTTATTTTTGTGTCACTATTTTATGTATGTCCATCATTTAAGTATGTGTGTTAGTACACTTCGTTAATGGTTTAAGTGTGTGTGTTTAAGTCCATGGTTTGATATTCTGTTAGTCTTAGTTAATGGTTTAAGTGTGTGTTTAAGTCCATGGTTTGATATTCTGTTAGTCCAAGGTTTAAGTATGTGACTATAGTTTGTGTTAATTAATGGCTTAAGTAACTATCAAAACATTTTTTCTCTACAACTTCAGTTTTAAGTATGTGGCTAAACATAATCATGTATATAGTTTATTTGTTAGTTAATGGTTTGAGAATGTGTATAGTCTGATTTTATTGACCTGTCAATTATGCATACATTATAGAACTCATTTAAATATCCGATCCCACTTCGGTTTCGTCCGTGTAGTTTACGAGAATTAATGTGGAGTATATTAGTCATGTATTGAAAGTCACGCCAGCTTAATGTAAAGGTTTTCGTTAATTCACAATAGTACAGTCGGTTAAGAGAATGCCTGATAATTCAGAGGTCTGTGGTTCGATCCTTGCTGTTGCCATTGTTTTAGTACTCTTTCTTTATTTTTGCCGTATATTTTAATGGAACAGTTTGTAGTGTGTTTTACAGCATTGAAAAGACATTTATTGATTTAAATCCGTTTTAATTTTAAACATGAATTCTTAAAACATGTTATTTAAAAAGAATATAGATATAACAAAATTAAGTAAAACATAATAAAACAAAACGAACAACATAAAATAATCATATATAGCTCCAATATTGTTGAAAGTATTAATAAGAAAATAAAAACATAGACCTACGCGGTCTCGAACTTAAAACACGTGTGGCACATAGAGTATAAACTCGTGCTTTACCCTATTGCGCTATAACGCTGAGTACACTTTGTTGAGAGATACAAATTAAATTAAATTCCATCGTACAGCGTACATCTCACGGAACTTACCGAAAATCTACCGAAGATTAATATACTGTGTGCATCGACCGTGTAATCAGTATGTAATTGACAGGTTAATAAAACCAAACAATACAGTTGTTCAATATTTTAAGTATGTGTTTATGTTATCAGAGTTTTTGTGTGAATCTATAATCTACATGCGTCTGGAGTTTTTTTGTTTGTCTAATAATAGTTTAGTTTTTGTGTCACATAATATTTCCTAAATGAATAGTAGAAATTAATTCTGTTAATGACAAAATTAGCATAAATTGGAATAAATTAAAAGATTTCTAAGAAGTGCAAAAAACATTATCATCACCTGCTAACATGCATTGGCGATATATCAGCAGCATTTTGTACATCATGTTAACAAATATAACTTTAGTCTAGCTGCAAAACTATTCTAAGTGCTCATTTATCACTCAGCAAATAACATAATTTTGCACTGATCCTAAACAATATTAATCATGATATAAAACCACGAAATCATAGTTTTTTTATTGCTCATTTAAAATAATAATCATAATATTAAAGTATTTAGCTGAAATTAGCTTTTTATAAGAATGATAAAACTCACTAAATCTTTGATTTCTTTGGAACACTTACAGACCAAAAAGATTCTCCTTAAAACAGATGTTAAAGATTTTTTTGTGTTGTTGTTTTTGCTGAATTTCTTAAATTGACTTGTCCATTTTCAATTTTTTTGTAACATATGATGCTTAATAATTATCAATATTTTGGTCAAATCAAGAGGAATATTAAAAGTTGGAAAGCCAACTGGAAAATTTAAAAAGTTTGTCAGCCAAAAGTATTGAGCCAGGTCAGACTGCAAAGATGTGCAGGCTGGCCTGTGTTTATACTATCAAAAACTTATAACATTAATTTTGGTCTCCCCTGTGGTCACATGGGCAGAAATTCCTGTTGCCAGCTATAGCTTACGATTGAGGATCAAAAGCTTCAACGATGACTGAACATCAGGGTTTTTTTTTCAATTTATCCTGTTCAATTATATCATATAACAGATGTATCGGTCACAATATGAGAAAAATCATCTTCGCTTCATAATATCTCGTAAGGAAAACAAACAAAAAAGTCAAATAAATTTTTGTCCAGAAAATATTACCTGAAAATCCACAATGAGAAATATACACCATATTACAACAAACACAAGTCTCATATTCCATCGGCAACCAGTATTAATATGACGATGCTGACATTTAGCCGATGGTATCTCCGTTATATTGTCTCCACGTACCAAAGACGCACACATTACAGTTTTACAGTTATATCGATGAAAATGTCAAACATAGAAATATCTCCAAGGAATTTCCTAGCTCTTAAGTCAATATGATGATTTTATTTATTTTTCCTCACGTTCATGTCATTTTGTAAATTTCATTCACATATCTATGCATCGTATTGCCTTGTGACACCGTGTACACACTTTAAATTGAACTCTCTTTTTTTCTCTCCTTTAAATATCCAGTTAGTGTCGAGTCATCGTAATTTTCCTTCTCGCAGATATCTCAGTAAAATACTTGCAGTATTGATTAAATATTCCTATATCACACAAACACTCATATAAAATATCCAGAACTAGACGATATAGTAACATTAGTAAAATAGAACTTAAGTATTACGTCAAAAATGAATTTACGAGAAATTTTTTTCTTCTTCAAAATTCACCCTATTGAATTTGTGAAATGGACTTGTCCAGCTTTGAAAATGGATCAACCCATTATTAGATGTAGGTAATTTTCAGGATTTATATGTCAATCAAAATACCAAATTGTGTGGCCAAGAAAAAGTTCAATACATGTACTCAGTGTTCAAATTACGTGTTCTTTATTAATCCACTGTGAAACAGAAGTTCCCTTAAACAGTGTAGATCTGTTCTTACCTGGCAAATCTAACTTTCTATTTATTTAAAACTTTTCATATTTTTAAACAAATTTACCAATATTGTAAAATCATGATTCATATTCATAGAAAGAAAATTGCAGTGTCTAAATTTGTCTTTAAAGACAAGAAAAATTCTGAGCCTATTTTAACAACAGCAAAAACATCTTCACAATTAATCCAATGTCTAAATAAAGCACTTCAAAAATATACGAGTAAAAAAAATGACGATTCAGCAAATTTGTTGTTGCCTTTTTTACATACTTTTGTTTCTTAGCTCAAGCAATCAGTTTGCATTTTGCTTTTTTCTATAAGGAAATCATTATTTACGAGGATAGTTTTATACGTCGTTATGCACAGCTGTTGAAAATTTTGATTTAACATTAAAATCAATGACTAAAAATGACATTAATTCAAAGCAAGCTAGATATACATAAAATAAAAATCATTTGTTTCTCAAATCATTACGATCTTATGACGACAGCACGAATTTTACTGCAAGTCAGTGAAGCTTGAATAGTTTGTCATGACCTTTGCTATATGTCAAAGTCGCATAAACCCAACAAAACTGGAAATGTGTGATGAAATTCAAATATGCCCCCACTTCATAATATATATGTATAATATACATAAATACTTATATTCACAAACCTATGACAGGGTAATATAACTCTTGTTATTGAACAGACAGTGTCACTGTGACCTTGGCCTCAAAATCAATAAGGGTCACCAACGGACCATAGAAAATATCCTTGCTTTGACATTATTCCTTCTAAAATTATTCATCAGACAAGGATTTTACAGTGTCACTGTGACCTTGACCTTTGACCTAATCATCTAAAAATCGAATACAGACAAGAAAAGAAATGCTTCAGGTAAAATGAACAAGTAAGTCAAAATCAGATTTTGCCAAACCTTCTGGCAGCACATTTTTCTGGCCCTGTTACCTTAGACAACAGAATTCAATTATAAAGTGAAGACATAATGCGTACAGTTACCACAAATTGCTACTGGCATTCAAAGGGTGAATTTTGTAACAGGAATTTTCCTGGCCTCAGCTGTGAAGGATATGTTTTAATTGGTGTTTGATGAGATTTCTTGTAACTTGGTAAAACTAAATGTATCATTGAAGGTGATTAATACTCCCCTGCAAACAATGTTTATTCCTAAAACAAGATCCACAACAAGCAATGTGGGGCCGCATCTGCTATTGACCTTTCTTTATTACCAAATGCAATAACATTCACGTCATTGATAAAGGCTTTTTTGGTGAAGGTCTTTCAAAGGTCAAGGTCAATAACTGAATTATTCAATATGAAATTTTGGTCCGGAATGTTGTTTTGTCTAAGTACAGGGGGAGATTTTGAGGGGGCGGGGGAAGAGGGTGTTGAATAATTAAGAACAATTGTTCCCTTAAAGCTGAAATTGAAGACCAATAATTTGATAAGTTTATCAAATACATCCTTTTGGATAATTTTAATCAAATAAAAACTGACATTTCTTTAGCAGTTCCGTCTTAGATAAAGAGTAGTTTAATGAATTTGTTACAAAACTATTGTATATACATTTTGATATTGAAAAAGATACAGTAGTATTGCTTCAAATAATTTAATCTAAATACAAGATAAAGTAAATATTACATGAGATACACTGCCCTATTTCCAACATTTACAAGTGTCATTACTTTAAGTGCAGCTAAAATTAAACAAATTTTCTTTTAATTACAAGCTTTTACAATAAGTTTTAAGTGTTTGCATGACTTTTTTCTTTACAAATTTTAAAACTATTATTATCCAAAACCGTTTGTGAATTGCACAAAGTATCTAAAAGCTACAGATAAAAAGATTAATTGAATAAAATCTTCATTTATCATTAAAACTGTCGATTATTTTTCAACAGAATACATGTAACATAATCATATTGAATGTCTCCCACTGTTCTGTAGGCACATTCCTAGCCTCATAATAAATATTACTTCTTTTTACTTTTCTATCTATTTTCTTTCTTTTGATTTTTAAGGAACACCAAAACTGCAATGGTCTAATGGTAAACAGACATTTGTTGTCCCCCCACCCCCACCCCCCTGGACGTTTTCCCCTTTTTTGCAATGGTGGATGTTTGCAAATGTTCTAGAATTGTCTTAGCAAGCAACTATTAAAGACAACTAAAATGTGAGAGACTCCGACATCAGGTGCCCGTGCATGTATTATTACAGGCCTAGGCAGGCACCTGGGTAGAACTTCTTACCTTCCAGTTAAGATACCTGGATGTCTATCAATAGCATTTTTTTTAAAACCTATTGCATATGACAGGCAAGTTATTAACTCTTTAACAAAAAAAACAAACTGAAAGATGCTCCCTCTTTTTCACAAAAAAAAAAATGGGATAGTTTCATAAAAAGATATTCTCAATTTTGAAAATAAATATTTTACAAAATTAAGTTTACATATTTAGATTTTTAAACACTAAGCACATGTACATCCCTGACAATGTTTAAACTATACATGTATACAATGTTACATTGTTTAATATATTAGAATCTCCTTTTAGAAACTTCAGATATTCATTACAACAAAACACAGTATCTCAACTAACATAAATCCTTTGAATTCTGTATCTTTTATAACAAATTGTGGAGACCCATATAACATTCTGAAGTATCAAAAGAAAATAAAGTTTAAACTCTCCACAAACAAGGAGCTTATTGTAAAACTTGGTGATGAAACTGGATCCATCACAGTGTTTAAATCACAGGTGTTTACAAACTTTTCCTTAATGCATTTAATTAATTTAAGTATAACAAGTATACTATTCAAACTGCAATTTCAACATCTCTAAAACTTTCCATATAAATCCAAATAATGTTTTCTAAATTGTAATATGCATGTATCTTCCTTGCTTGGCACATTGTTATGTCCTTATTTGGAATAAAGTATGCAACTTTAACCCCTTAATAATATAAATCTCCTTGCTAACAATTCTGTACCACACTGATATGCCCTTATTTGTATATGTATATATGTTACTTTGACCTTTACCATCCTAAATATCTTAAATGGACTAATCCATCTTTCAATTCTGTGCAAAACCATTCACATTTATTAGGGAAAATTTCAGTATTAGGTACTGATTGAATAGAGAACAGTGCAAGCAGGTAGACCATGAGCAGACAGTTGATCTTGGTCTGCACAGTGGTTGCATGGGTAGAATTTGCTGCCAGGTTAAAACTGTTATAGATATTGTTTTCTTCACTAATCAAAGCTTAAATTACAATATTATTATAAAAATATAATATATAAACAAATTACTCATATTTTAGCTAACAATGTTTAATAGCCTAAGGAACAATAAAAAATTAAGCATAATTATACAAATTACATGTATACATATAGCATTAACAATAGTCTGATAGAGCTTCAAGTCAGAACTTTTTTTATCGATGAGATTTTTTTGCCATTTTTTAAAAATATTTTAATCATATTATTAGCAATTTTATCATCAAACACTTATGTTCTTGTGATGAATTTCAATGCCTTAGAACTGGTCAGTAATTTCTGGTTTCAACAAGTCATTACAAATTTCTTAACTGGGAGTAAATTTTAAGAGCCATAGATTTTTAAAATGGAGGCAAATCAGAGAATGACCCATGTCGCCAGTACTGACCATTAGATAAGCCTGTACATCTGTGCCATTTGATCACTGACTACACTATTCAATCAGTACATATTTTGAAATTTTCCTACATGTTTAAATGATGAATGGCTAAAATTTCACAAGTACAGTCAGGCCAGCCTGTACAGTCTGTCTAGCTGGCCTGAATACCTATGCCACAAGTCAATCAGTCCAGTATGCACTTGTGCCAGCAGTACAGTCAGTCAGATCAGCCTGAATAGAGTGAGGCCAGATTTCACACCTGTGCCAATTCTTAAAATATCTAAACCCTTCGCCTACACAGTTTCAACTTTTTCTCTCTTTTCATATCACTCCCAAGTAATTATAACAATGGAATAATTAGCTTCAAATTCGAAACAGTCGGCAATATCATTTCACAAATTTTGAGGCGAAACTTATAATTAGTAATTATTCCGAATTCACATTTTAAAACCCAGAATATGATGATAACACTCCTTATTTCTAAGCTAACATAACAATTAAGTTACATCCTCCGTTAATGAATATAAGATATTTTTGTTACAATAATTCACGTTTTATACAATGATGTATTTATCACTCCCTTTAACATGTTATTAAACATCTGTATACATTGTATTGATTGCATTATAATAGATTGTATCCTTTTTTATATATACATGTATATACATGTACATTTACATGAGTGTACATGTATATTTAACTCTGCCAGGTGAAAATTATTTGTCATATTCTAACTTCATGTACATGTTTATCGCAACTTCATCAACATACAAATTCCATTTCATTATCATATCGTCTATATTTTCATCTTGTTAAGTTTATTTACTTCATTCTTTTTGTTAACACTTAAA